ATGAAGATGTTTTTTGAATTTGTGTTTTGTCTGTTTGCATGTGTTTACTTAAGATGTTGAGCTCTCAGGGCCAACATACTAATCTGTCCACCACAGTTTCATATTTCATAATCACATTTCTCAAAACAATATCAAAGATGTCTGACATGTTTGTGCTGTTTCTTCACTGTGGAGCTGTGAGTTGATTCACTCAGTCCCTCCTTGCCCTGCTCTTGAACTTTCAAATTGTGAATACCATCTTCAGGATACTGTATTACCGCCCAACGCTTTCATCTCCTTGATGAAATCTTGCATCTCTCTGCAAGCAGTATGAAAAATCAGCAGGTGCTGCACAGCTGTCTCATTCAGATCCAGAACATCTGTTTACTCAACCTGCGAGTGAAAGACTTGAGGCCTAGGCTCAAACTTTTGAGCAAGATGCTCCTCTTCATCAACCAGTCACAGCTGTGGTAGGAACGACTGTACATAGGACAAAGCAGGGAGGAGCAGAGCAGAGTGAGTCAGCTGTCAATGGAATTTGAGCTACTTGTACTTTACTAGTATTTACAGTTTCATTTTACTTCTACCACTCTACATTTAAGAGCCAAATATTGTTACTCATGACTGTTTTATAATTACAAACATATAAGATGATAAAAATTCAACATTGTTAAAGTAGAACCTGTTGGTTCCCAGTCTGATTGGCTTGTTTCCCCATAAATATTAAAAAACCTGTGTACTTGGGGCCCTCTGTCTTGTTTAAGATGATTTCATTTCAATAACATAAAATATAATATCCAATATTTCACTAAAAAGCACATAGCAGGTAAAATGACTTCTACTTTCTTCTCTTAATAATGATGTCACAGCCCATCAGACATCAGGCTGGGAACCACCAGCCTGAACTATCTATATGAACTCGAGCAGCTACAACAGAACCACATCCAACATAACTGATCTGAACACGTCCTGCACGCCCGCCTCCATCACACTGAAATATACAGGCAGTTGTAACAGAGAACACAAGTCTGACCAACCAATCACAGAGCAGCTTTAAATGACAAAGATACACCAGCTGATGAACATTCACCAGGCATTAGACGTGTGGAGAGGCCACTGTGTCCTTCTATTGTCGCTAAGAGCATGTTACCCAGCATGGCCACTAGGGGGCTGTGGGCTCACTGGACACTGCTGTACAGGTCTGTTTGTTGTAGAATGAGTGTGAAGGGGTCATTATAGACCAGCGAACAGAATCACAAAGACAGACTTTGTCAGAGGAGTCAGAGTTCAGATAGACTGAGTCTAAATTCATCTGCTGCACAAAGCAGTTTAAATGAACTCTGGGAAATTCAACACTAAATAACTGAAGCCATAAAAACCACAAACACTGTGGCCTCACAGCAAACTGCTCTCCTCGACATCAACCACGGAATTTACATTCTCTTCACCTGACTGGAACAGACCACCTGCTCAGGTAAGTATGGGTAACACCACAACTGTTAACAGTCCCGCACCACTGAGAGGACCTCATGATGTAAACCTGTCTCCACTGACACTGAGCAGCTGAAAACATCAACAGATAACAGATAACAAGCCCGTAAACAAAGATAAATCACATCTCACAACCAATAATCAATAATCAAAACCTGAGGAATCAATGGAAACATTTGACTCAAGTACTAATGATATAATACAGACAGTGATAATGTGTTGGAACAGGGCTGGAGGAGTTTTTTCACACACCTCTGTGTGTAAGAACATCGCACTGTAACCCAGCTTCACCTCAACAGTCCATGAGGGTAGCTTGGACTCTGGTCTTTGTAGGGACCTGGAGTCTGCAGAGGCCTCATCACAGACTCCTTCATCTCCCACTGCTGCACAATGTTCAGGTGACCACTCCACCTGCTGGTGGTTGTTGGTGTTGCTTCAGCAGCCTGCAGACAGCTTTGTGTCCTGCTGTGTCACAGAGACTGAGAGTGTCAACAACACTCACAGATCAGTGATGACAGAGCAGTTCAGACTGACAGTGTTTATTCTTCCTGGGGTCATCTTAAACAATTCTTCAATGACAACAGATGGATAAATACACATCCAGATCAAAACACACTCATGTCATTCATACTCAGAGTGAGACTCACAATACACATCAATCTGTTAAATACAATAACTATTTAATGATTTCATTTCTTAATGACTGAGAAAAGAAACTTTTCACAATTCAATCATCTAAGTCACAAAAAAAGATAAATAAAAATAAATAAGTGGGATGAAATAGCTCCTGTATCCATTTCCATTTCAGAAAACTTACACCTTGTGTAAACAAATACAATCTGAACTTGTTTTAAAACATATTGTACTATTTTCTGATGTCAAGAAACATGGGAATGAATTCATGCCACCATTACTCGATGTTTAACCGTTCTCTGTATTAAACTAGTTCTACATGTTGGCAACAGAAAATGACCCTCTGATACCTGCCTAGTAAAATAATGATGTCAATCTGCGATGAATGATAAGTTACTTTAAATATTTATGGGGTTTTAGTTATGATGATATTCCTGATAAAGTGACTAGAGAGTAGTGCAACCTACTTTTTACACTTCACCAAGCCAGACGATGACTCATCATGCTGACTCTTGTTCGATATGAGCAGTGGAGAGCCATTCATGCTGCTTTACTCTGTGCTACCTGTAATCTGTTCAACATACTATCTGTTGTGTTGGACCAGATCACTGAGCAATAATCTAACTGTGATAACACTAATGTTTGCACTAATTCTTGCATGTAGCTACTGGGTAACTGTACCAGTCTATTTGATACAGAAACACAGACAGACATATACACGTATGGAAACATGTCAAGCTACTGTCTCCTGTGAAGAGTTCTAGTGGACACCAGTGCCCCCCTGTGTAGCAGGTGTCATAAAAATGGCTGACGTTCTGTAGCAGCATGTGTGACGGGGAACCAGGGACCTGTGTTTCATCCTGTAGTAGCTCTTCACTGAATTGTGATGTTGACACTGTGAATGATCACAGCCAAGAGGCTTGATGTATCTGGAGTTCTGTGGGTCTGAACCTCAACGACCATACATGTGGTTTGTCCTGACACTCTGATACAACCCACAGGAGCAGGCGCACTGAACCTTTGTTGTCATGGTTACTGGTTGGTGTAACAGACATCACATTCATTTATTGAAGTCAGTGGAGTTTCTTCCTGATCATGTGGTTCAGTTTGAGGAACGGTCAGTCTGCTGGTTTAGGAACAGACACAACGTGGTCTCGTTTAGGAGAGGGTTGTGCTTTTTTCTTCCTTCAGGTCAGAGAACTTTTGTCACCATGGTTACTATAACAATAACCACTTCTATTCATGAGGATTTTTAGAAAGGAGCCTTGACTCTTGTCCACTTGAGGTTGTGTTTTTACTGTAGTTCCCCCACCTGTCCAGCAGAGGGCCTCCTTGGCTGCAGAACAGCACTGCTGGCTCTGGATCAGTAGGTCTGTCTCCACCACAAACATTCAGCAGAGCACAGGTACAGGTAACCACCTGTACCACCAGCCTTAATTAGAATTAATTAGTATTGATGATGTATTAATATAAAGTGTCTGTTAAACCTGTTTGTTTATAGAAGCAGCTTGATGTGTTACTGACTGATGACTTTATACCCACAGTTCCTAATGTGAGCAGCTTCACATTCATTATCTTCAACAGAGACAAATTCACTTATTCTACAATTCTCTGTTTTTGATGAGGAGACATTAGCCCAAACACATAAACAGTGTCACAGTGTGATCAAAACAAAAACTAATTTAAAACTGAGACTGAAGTTCATGCAAATTTATTTTTTTGTTTTTATTTATAAGTAACGTTAACTTCATTCATTTTTAAGATCTGTAAAAATCATATACAAGACATTTTAAGGTCTTAAACTCAGACTATTGGATTTAAGACTTTTTAAGATCTGTGGAAACCCTCAAGTTCCAATATTCAGTGTGACCACTCCATCAAAACCACCTCCAAGCCCAGGTGACATGGACGCTGAGGGCGGAGCCGGACCCACTGCAGGAAGCGGAAACTCTCTCCTACCTCCCCTGCAGGATGAGCCCGCTGAAGGTATTGCAGCAAAACCTGGACTCTCATTTCAATGTTGAAAAGAGATGCTCCACCTGAGATTCAGACCCCTGTCACCCAGTCCCCAGACAGGACCGTAACCAGTACTCTGTACCAGCACACTGGCTTTCCATGGTAATGGGCTGATTTGAGACCATCACTGATTCACTGCTACATAAACCTTGAGTTAGTTAGAACTGAAGATGCTGCTGCAGAGCACAGGTTTCTCCTGTCTGACTCTTCATACTGTTTGTTTATACCGTATTTTCCGCACTATAGGGCGCACTGGATTATAAGGTGACTGTCAATGAACAGTCTATTTTGGAACTTTTTTTCATATATAAAGCGCACCGGACTATAAGGCGCATTAAGCGAAACAAAACAGTCAGATAAGTCAGTCAGTCAAACTTTATTAAACACGTTCACAATAACTCTCAACATTGTTCAAACGTTAATGAGCGTATTCACAATAACTTCCAACCTTGTTCAGTTGTAACACGTAAAAAACACAGTCTGTTCTACTGCGTGACTGATAGCCTTGAGTCTGAAGTCCGCGTCGTAAGCGTGTCTCTTGACAGGTGCCATTTTGGGGTCTTTATACACACACTGTAATATTATGGTGAAGCATATGTATTACTCCGCGACGCTCCTGACTACGGTAGCCATAACAACCAGAATTAATCCATATATAAGGCACACTGGATTATAAGGCGCACTGTCGTTTTTTGAGAAAATTAAAGGCTTTTAAGTGCGCCTTATAGTGCGGAAAATACGGTAGTTTTATTAGCCGTCTGGATCCTAGAAGGGTTCAGCTGCAGGTCCTGGTCAGTCAGTTTGACGCTGGTGTAGATAGACCATATGTTGATTCTCCTCCTGCTGACGTCAGTTTTACACTACTCTGAATCAAAGCACCATTTCAGTGAAGTAACACTTTATTGTGATTACAGCATGTTTCAGCCTGTGACATCTGGATCTTTAAAAATATATCACTATCAGATAATAAGATACAAACTCTGAGGAGTCCGATAACAATGAACCACTGTCTGAGCAGGTTCTCACACAGTTTTAACTGTGTTCATCAGCTTCTTCATGATAAGGCTGCTGGCCGGTGCGTCTGTGAATATTGTCCCAACAAAAACATGTGTACCCCACACAGTGTGTCGGATCACTCTGCAGCAGCCCAGGTCCTCGATCTGGAACCCAAGGTGACGGTACCTGTCGTCCGTCTCAAACAGGGTGTTGTTGGTGTAGGAGCCAAAGAACTGGAGAGGAATATACACTGTTATCATCCAGTTTCTCCAGAGGAACAGCAGCAAACTAGTATACTGAGCTGTAGACCACTACACTGAGCTGTAGTGTCTGTGAACATGACCTGAGAGTTTGTTATACTCAAGTTTGTGTAGTACATGTGTGTGTTTGGTCATGAACAGCTGATGTTCTCTGAATGGTTGCTGGACATTTTACCGGAGGACAGTGTAACAGTACCATGACATCTATATATGAACAAACACAGGGAGCTTCTGTTCACATCTGCCTTATGACTCCGGAGGTGATCATGGCTCCTCTACACTGAATATTAAACTGGATGCTGGGACTTTGTTTCACAGTTAGTGGACACTACAACTCAGTCAGACAGTGATCTCTGTGCAGGCTGATGAAACAGATGTGTGGAAGGTCATGGAAGCCATGGTCACAGGGTCACTGTAGCATTCACTCTTGAATTGTTCATCATTCAATCATGTTGTGTATGTGTGTGTGAGTGACAGTTACACTGAAAGTGGTATCTTACCGCCAGGCCTGAGGAGGGATCGATGAAGTCAGCCCAGAACCCGTCTCTCTGCAGAGCGTAGCAGATCTCTTTGGCTCCATCAACAAACTGCACAGTGGAGGAACAACTGTTATCAATCTGATCCTGCCCCTGATCTCTCTCTCTCTCTTCTCTCCCCCATTCCTCCCCTCTCAACCCCACCCCAAATCTCTATTGATGAACACATTTCTACTGTTACATGGTGTACACCGTCATATCACCCAACACTACCGAGCTCTCTCTAGCTGTTCAAATCTTCTGACTGGCATCATGTCTTTCACTACCTCTCCCTCCCCCAGAGAGATGTGAGGAACCTGCAGTGTATGTGAGGGCAAAACTAAAAACAAACAGTATGAAGTGTGAGACAGGAGAAACATCTGCTCTGCAGCAGCATCTTTAGTTCTAACTAACTCCAGCTCACCTTCCCAAGCATCTGCTCCCTCTCCTCCTCCACCTCAGCACACCATGCTGTCATATCCTTTTGGGTCTTCTGGGTCACTGTCACCACCATCATACCAGAGGATGGAGCCTCTGGAAACATGGACTGGAAATCTGTTGATCATGCAATCAGGAGAGCACGAGTCAGACAGAAACACTGCTTCTCACCTGGAGGAGGTACATCCACAGAGTCAAACACCTCGGAGTTATCAGGGAGAGACAGTGACACTCCAGTCTGTAAAAACAGCTTTTACCTGGTTCTTAATAACAAAGAGAAAGAAGCTGGATGTTATGGATGAAGGTGTGACGAGTATGAGCTGTACCTCTCTGCAGTAGCTCAGGACAGGGTTGTACGGCACACTCCACACTGGAGCTGTCAAAGTATTGTTCAGCCCTACTGACTCTCTGAGAGGAGGCCGGGTCGTCATTCTCCTGACACACACAGACACACACACACACAGAAGAACACAGCAGTGATGGAGGAGCTGTTGGCTGTTGGTTCATCCACACAGTTCAGATCTGAGCTGTCTGTAGGAGTCTGCGTGCATCACTTAGTGTGTAGGTCTTACATTGTGTTCCTTGATTGTAAATGAACCAGTGATTGGTCCATGTTTGACATTACAGCTGATATACTGATGTGTGTAGCTTGACTTCATGAGGTTTATATGGCAACACAAGTCTTGACACAGGAGAAGTTATGTACTGAACTGTTGTGACTATAAGACAAAATCAAGTGAGCTCCATAAACAAGGCCTCGTTGTATCACACGTGTGTCAGGGGCGTGTTAAGGTGGTACTGACAGAGATCAGAGCCACAGACTGACGAGTGGAACCAGATCAAGTCTGTAATGCTGAGTTCTGGATGGGAAATGTTCAAGTGACATCGGCAAGAAGACCCATGAAGCAGACTGCTCTCTCCATCTATCCAGTGTACATATCAGTGTACAGTTAGGCCCAGAAATATTTGGACAGTGACACAATCTTCATGATTTGGGCTCTGCATGCCACCACATTGGATTTGAAATGAAACAACTACAATGGAATTGAAGTGCAGACTTTAAAGGTTTAATTCAAGGGGTTGAACAAAAATATATGATTAAACATGTAGGAATTGTAGCTATTTTTATACAAACGCTCCTCATTTCAGGGGCTCAAAAGTAATTGGACAAATAAACATAACCCTAAGTAAAATGTTACTTTTCAATATTTTGTTGAGAATCCTTTGCAGGCAATGACTGCCTGAAGTCTGGAACCCATGGACATCACCAAACGCTGGGTTTCCTCCTTTGTGATGCTTTGCCAGGCCTTTACTGCAGCTGTCTTCAGTTGTTGCTTGTTTGTGGGTTTTTCTGCCTTAAGTTTTGTCTTGAGCAAGTGAAATGCATGCTCAGTTGGGTTGAGATCTGGTGATTGACTCGGCCATTGCAGAATATTCCACTTCTTTGCTTTAAAAAAACTCCTGGGTTGCTTTTGCAGTATGTTTTGGATCATTGTCCATCTGTACTGTGAAGCACCATCCAATCAACTTTGCTGCATTTGGCTGAATCTGAGCAGAAAGTATATCCCTATACACTTCAGAATTCATCCGGCTGCTTCTGTTTTGTCACATCATCAGTAAACACAAGTGACCAGTGCCATTGGAAGCCATGCATGCCCATGCCATCACACTGCCTCCACCATGTTTACGAGGGTGGTGTGCTTTGGATCATGAGCTGTTCCAATTCTTCTCCAAACTTTCTTCTTCCCATCATTCTGGTACAGGTGATGGCTTGCTCCAGTGTTTTTTGGCAAAGTCAATTCTGGCCTTTCTATTTTTGAGGCTGATTAATGGTTTGCACCTTGTGGTGAATCCTTTGTATTTACTCTCATGAAGTCTTCTCTTTATTCACTTGAGTGGATGTTGTGAAGGGGTTTTTCTTCACCATGGAAAGGATTCTGCGATCATCCACCACTGTTGTTTCCGTGGACGTCCAGGCCTTTTTGAGTTCCCAAGCTCACCAGTCACTCTTTTTTTCTCAGAATGTACCAAACTGTTGATTTGGCCACTCCTAACATTTCTGCTATCTCTCTGATGGATTTCTTCTTTTTTTCAGCCTCAGGATGGTCTGTTTCACCTCCATTGAGAGCTCCTTTGACCGCATGTTGTGTGTTCACAGCAACAGCTTCCAAATGCCACCGCCACACCTGGAATCAACTCCAGACCTTTTAACTGCTTAATTGATGACAGGTTAATGAGGGAAGAGCCCATGCAGCCTTGTTATTTTTTTTTGCAGCCTTCTGAGTCAATTGTCCAATTACTTTTGGTCCCTTGAAAAAGACTTGGCTACGTATTAAAGAGCTGTAATTCCTAAACCCTTGCTCCAATTTGGATGTGAATACTCTCAAATTACAGCTGAGAGTCTGCACTTTAAGCCCATATTGATTATATAATTGTATCCTGAATATGTTTTCGTAAACAGCTAAAATAACAAAACTTGTGTCACTGTCCAAATATTTCTGGGCCTAACTGTATATCTGTGTGTGTCTGTAAAAACAAAATAAAAGGAATAATCATTGTTGGAGAAGCTACTTTAAAAACACAGCTTTACAGGTTTACAGTTGCTTTGCACAGGAGGAAGTTGAGCTACAGTGAAGTGACACTGTGGAGAAAGTTTATTGAACAAAGCTACTTCAGAGTACTTTGTAAAAATGATCACAGTGTGCATATGATATGAGATTATTAAAAAACTTCATATGCTGGCAAAAGTCCAAGTGAATGTTTGTGCCAAATTTGAGAAAGAGGTTCTGTCACGGTGTTACTGAGATGTCGTGTCAACGAGAATGGGGCAGACAGACGGACTACATGAAAACAACATGCCTGGCTCTGACTGTCTCCAGCAAAGAGGAATAAAATATAAAATACCCACTGCTCATGGGAAATCAGCAAGAATCAGCTGTTTATGTCTCTGTCCTGTTGACTGTCCCTTCACTTCCCCGTTAGAACCCTTCTATTTACAACCATGAACAGCAGCAGCTGAGAAGACAAACTAAGTGACATGTTTAATCACAACGCAGCACCTACACACACAGAGCTTCAATGACAGTCAGCTGGTAGCAGTGTGTGTGTGTGTGTGTATGTGTGTGGCAGGACAAATTAAATATAAATTTAATACTACAATAAAAATAATAATAACAATATCACATAGATCACAGCCTCTGACTTTAGACCGAAAAGCGGTCTGAGGGATCCTGGTGTAATTAATTACATCAGAAATTAATATTAAGACTGACCACTGTCAATACAATGTATTTCCTAAGTCTTTCTGTTCTCATGTTAACATCATCACACTTACATAGAAGTCTCCGATGAACTGCGCCAGTATGAACTCGTGTCTCTCACTACTGGACGGAGCCGACAGTACGTCAGGGACCATCTTATGTGGCAGGCTCCTCTTCTTCTCTGCTAGTCCTTCTAGGTGGCACTCAAAACCCACATTACCTGGCAGCTGGAAGCGTTGGTCCTGGGGCCCAAAAGGCCCCATGCTCTCATCAGGCCAAACTGTCCGCAGTCCTTAAAGTACACGATGTGTGAAAATTCAGGTTTCACACAAAATCCAGGTTTTTGACACACACTATATCACCCATACCAGCTTCATTTTACATCTTAAAATCCACTCCAACTACTTCATGTTAAACTGTAAAATAAAAACATGCATGACATACCCATGTCAGGTGGATTGAGGGCTACATGGGGCTCATCAGAGCCTGAGGATCCAGCAGTGAAGGCTCTAGCTCCAGCCACACGATGCACCAACACATGAAGTCCAGGGAGATAAGTGACCAGCCTGGCTCTGCGGCACAGCACCTGAACACAGCACAACACAACACACACATCACACAACTACATAGTCTTTACTGAGTGTCATATTCACAGTGGAACAAAACAAGTCAGGGAAGCATATTGACACACTTTGTGTTCAAAAGTCTAAACGGTGAAAAACAAGTTGTTCTAATCAGGGATGTTCCTAATGACTAATTACGAAATTTACATTGAGACTTTTTTATGGTAAAGGAACACAATCTGTCACCACCCAGACATACACTCAGTGATCACTTTATAAGGAACACCAAACTAACACTGGGTACACACTTGACTCACACTGGCCATCCTGGTGTGTGTTTGTCAGTCTGCCCGTCAGCAGGGTCCAGTTATTCTGTAGGAGAGGACAAGACGAGAGAGAGAGAGAGAGAGAGAGAGAGAGAGAGAGAGAGAGAGAGAGAAAACATGGCAGTAAGATCGGTCGGTGTTACCACCCGAAAAGTCTGTACTGTACTGTACTGTACTTGTATCGTCACGTAAGCTGTAACTACAGAGGAGCAATAATCTACCTGGTGTCAGGTGGTTCACAATGACTGACTGTGGGACACAGACGTCCGTGACCCTTTACTCTTCGTACAGGTGTTAACACAAACCGGGCACAGTCGCGGCTAGCGTTAGCACAACAGCAGCTCATTCGCAGCTAACGGTAGCACAACGTTAGCACAACAGGTGCCGCTAAACTTAGAAATTCTCTGATGAAACCAAAGATCCTCTACACAGTCTCTCTACTGTCTCTGATGAAACTCACCTTCAGTTCGCGCATGCGCTGTTCCGCGGCAAAAAGCCAGGGCGCGCATTAGCGCCCCCGCTGGTCCGGAGGGCCGAGGGGCCCATCTTCTGCGGTCTCTGATGTTGCCCAGACGCTGTCACTACCTGATGATGTATCTGACCGGTCAAACATCAGTATTTGCTGCTGCGACACCTCCTGGCACCTCATGTATTTCCATGTATGTCAGTCAAAGTCCATCCAGACTGTTGTTGTGCAACATACAACAAACATGCAGTGGCTTTTAAGTTATAAGTAAGTGTCACTTCGCCAGGATAGAGCTATGTCAAAGTTTAGACAACTGGTTATTGTGTTGTAAACTTCACCTTCACACTTGCTCTAATATTAAAGGGTCACCACCCTAATTTTACCTGGAAGAAGGTTAACAGTTATGGTCATAAGTGTCATTTACACTGGGTAACTGGGGACATGTCCCCACCACTTTATGAACTGGCTGATTTAGTCCACATCACTTCTGTTAAACACTTTGTGAAATGTTTGCACCAAGAAATGTTAACTGAGAACACACTGAGACAGATTTATTTGAACAATAAGAAAATACAAAAGTCCCCCCACCTACTGATTCTAAAACAACCCAAATACACACATGTACTGATCAGTAACTTTAATTTCTTCCACAGTTTTCCATTCTGTCTGTGTGAACATGACCAACACACAACAGCACCAGGTTTATATGTAAAAGGTTTAAACATATTTAAATGTCATGTCTACAATGAGTCATGATTGGTTGAGCTTGAACTCTAGAGACCTATGTTTCTCTAACATTAAAAGTCTGCAGCATATTGAAACAACAAGTTTAACTTAAGGTCTAAAGGGAAGGTTGATGTATTATCTTTAGACTGACAGCATTCCTACAGGATCCTGACAGGGACACAAGAGTTTACAATAAAGTGATCAATAATAAAGATCAGTATATTTGTATAGATCAGTGGATGTTTTGCTGTTTGAGTCTTTCCATGTGCTACTCCGGTTTTAAAACAGAGCCTCTAACAAACAGAGGAGGGTTTATCACATTAGGCAGTTCGCCTACAAGGAACATGTTGGAGTGGATGATGCCGTCCTTTACATCCTCCACCCATTCTTACTTGGATGAGCCAGGTGGTTACATGAGGATTATGTTCTTTCATTTTTCAAGTGCATTTAACACCATCCAGCCCCCCATCCTTAAAGACAAGCTGGAAGGGATGGGGATGGATCCCTACTTCACGTCCTGGATTGTGGATTACCTGACAAGACGACCACAGTACATCAGGCTGGGTAACTGTGTCTCAGGGACAGTGATGAGCAGCACTGGGGCTCCACAGGGGACTGTTCTGGCTCAGTTCCTGTTCACCCTGTATACGGCCGACTTTAAATACAACTCTGAGTCCTGCCACATCCAGAAATACTCGGATGACACAGCTATTGTTGTGTGTATCAGGAACGGGCAGGAAGAGGAGTACAGGGATCTGATGATGGCCTCCAGTGAATGGAGCGACAAGAACTGCCTCCTTCTGAACACCTCCAAGACCAAGGAGATGGTCATGGACTTTTGAAGGTCTAGGCCCACCCTTCTGCCAGTCAACATTCGAGGGAAGGACATTGAGGTGGTGCACACTTATAAATACCTAGGTGTGCACCTGGACAGTAAACTGGACTGGTCCCTGAACACGGATGCCATCTACCTGAAGGGGCAGAGCCGGCTCTTTTTCCTCAGGGGGCTCAGGTCCTTTGACATCTGCAGTGAAATGCTGCACATGTTTTATCAGTCAGTGGGGGCCAGTATACTCTTTTATGCTGCAGTCTGCTGGGGCAGCAGCATGTCCGACACGAACACAAGGAGACTGGACAAGCTGGTCAAAAAGGCTGGGTCTGTGCTTGGCAGGAGTCTGGACTCACTCAGGACTGTTGTGGAGAGACGCATTCAATGTAAGATGGAGGCCATCTTGGACAATACCAACCATCCTCTCCACAACATTGTGGCAGGACAGAGAAGCAGCTGCAGCAGCAAACGTCCCGTTTATTTATTATCAACTGTTATTATTGTTATTATTAATATTATTATTATCAACAATGAGCTAATGGACACATGAATTTCCGCTAGGGGATAAATAAAGTATCAATCTATCTATTAAATAACTACAAAATAACTATTGGAACCTCATTTGAACAGAACACAGATTGTTTAATCCGACAGGATTCCTGACAGTGATGAAGCTTTTACTCTCTTCTTCATCACTGCAGCTCAGAACAATGAGGAGAAATAAAAACTAAACCAACAATGATCCACACACTGATCAATATTTCCACCATTATAAATGAACATTTCAGTCAGACTGACTCTTCAGACATCAGCTACTTCTCTCCTCTTCTTTCTCTCTTTTCTTTCTCTCTGCAGCAGAAACAGTCTGACATTAACTTTAACTTTTATCTGCTTCACATGTTCATGACAGTTTGTTCATCATCAGACTGAAGAGCAAAATATTCAGTGAGAAACTTAATGATAATTCATGTTGTTTTCAATATATCCTTAGTCTGACTTTAATAATTACAATTATTTCTAGTGTTTCTTTTTTATTCCAGTATTGTGATCACATTGTTTACATTTCACCTTGTTGAATTTCACTTTAAGACGTCACTATAACTGAACTTACCTGCAGGTATCAGTGTCTCTGCTCATATCATATTACTACTTTATTCATGGTTCTGTCGATGTTGCTTATAATTAACGACTCTGCCTCGTTCTCATGATGTGCTCGTACCTGGACAGGTAAACCCAGAGTTAACTGACCCAGTAGATAACCAGCTTCATAGGACAGGTGATCAGGACAATGTTAGGTTCAGTTTAACTAGATAATGAAAAGTTATCCTGGTTATGTTGGACTTACTTTGTAGTACAGACCTCTGGGCTGTTACTCTGTTTGTTGTGTACCATATGTCCTTTGATGTCAGAGCAAACCAAACTAAATGAGACACCACCTTATCACATATTCAAACACTGACTTTATTTAAACTCAACTGAACAACATTGATCTAAAACCCTGGACGTTATGTTGACTTCACTGATCTGAGGTCTGTATTTATTTTCATTAAGAAAACCTTCATCTTGCCACAATGAGACATTGAAAACTATTTTGTGTTCAGTGAATGGAGGTTCATACAGTTACAAAATACACAATCATACACAGAGGATGGTGGGTGAATATCTTGGGACACAACTGCCATAAATCCTTTAGTGTGGGCAGCTCCACTGGGGCATGTTATGCTCCTTCAGTTACATAGTGTGTCACCATGAGCAACACGAAGACTGAAGAGCACAGAGATGACATCACCTGGATGAGCTCTCAGTCCTGTAGCTCCACGTCTCTGTGACTCTTCACAGTTACAATAATAATAATGGACAGCTGCAGAATCTTTTCTGAATCTTTCACTGTTTCTCAGTGTCCATGCTGGTCATGTCTTCTATCCCCCCCACTGAGACATCAGGCTGTTTGCTGCACGAAGTCCTTGCTACCTCCAGAAGGCCCCCTTCCTCCACAGTCCTGTGGTCTGTGATGACACTGATCTGGTGGTAGATCTCCTCTGGTGGGTGGGAGTTCCTCATGGCCTGGTAGATGGTGGGGTCAGGGAGCGTCAGCAGATACTGAGGTCAGGAATGAGGCAGATGGATTCAGGTTTGTGTTAAAAGAACCAAGAAAACACCTGGACAAATAATCCAGGTAAAGGGTCCACTTCAGAACTGAACACACATACAGCTGAACATACATGCAGATCCATATAAACACACACACCTCTTTGAAGTGCTGAGGCAGGGCATCTTTGGGACAAAAAAAGTGGGACATACTTTCCCGGTACACAACCCCAACCACCAACAGAGCCACTGCCACCGCCATGGGGACGAATGCGAGGACGGCTGCCATCCATGGAGCTTCATCTACAGAGAAACAGACCAAGAGCAGGAGTTATCAGTATGTTTACATTCTTAAATTACTGTTGTCATTGTCTGGAGCATTACGATTTTTATCACAGCAAAACGCCACACGAGTCAGAGAGTGAGAATCACTTTGATTGCTTCTTATTGTACAGGTGTTCCCAATAAACTGGTAACAACATAGTAGAGCAGTGTTTTTTCAATTCAATTCAACAGGTTTTATTGGCATGACATTTTCATTGCGTTGCCAAAACACAATTACAATCATTCAATGGAATTAAATTTAAAAAAATGTCAACAACGATATTTATATAATAAAATACAATATAATTATTAATAGAATTAATGAAATAAATGTATAATGAAATAAAGAAAAGGGAAAAAAGCAATTAAATTATGTACATATACATACACACATATACCTGCACATATACTGTATATAGTACATATGCAAATATACACATACATAAACATATACGTACACATATGTAAAAGCAGTTGTTAAATAAATAAAGAAAAAGGAGACAGTGGTAGTAAATACATTTGATTTCTATATTTCTGTATACAGCAGTCTTATGTTGTGACAGGAAGTGACATGTTTAGTAGCCAACATTGCACAGTCTATCTTTTCCCCCAGGACAGAGGAAACTTTTAAATTCGGGGTATTTTTGATCAAACTTTGGGAAGAATTCCTACCTAATATTTCTGCATTTTCGACAGGTGTTGCTTTGACTCAGCACTGTCCCTTACTTTTTAATTTACCAGAAACTGTCACAATGATAAATTTCTGTTCAGCCAGTTCACATAAAATCAAACTGGTTTAAGCTCCTACACCGGACTGGACCAGGCCTGACTGGACTAGACTGGACCAGAGCAGACCAGACTGAATCAGATTGGCAAAACTGGAAATTGACTCAACTCTCTTGAGAAGGAGATGAAGGTCTGAACCAGTTTTCCTCCCAATCCATCCAATTGTTGTCTAGACATTTCAATAAGAACCAAATAGGCAGCCAGGGGAGCACCAGAGTCTGGCTTGTCCAGGAACCATGATTTCATGTAGGACCAGTAGTGGACTAACTGACCGACCAGCTGACACTGCCATCCCCACAGCCCCTCCACTAGACTGGCTACAGGCCTGTCTCTTGTTGTAATCAGAATATAGGAATGACCTGCAGATCAAACCCCTGCAGGCTGTGGTGAAAGTTGCAGGTGGATCAGCACCAATCCAGCTCCTGATTATTCCACTAATAAATCAATAATTAAAAATTCAGCTTACCTGTGGTGGTACTCTCACAGACAACTGTACTGAGCTCACTGGGGTGGGGGTTGCTCTCTGTGCAGATTTGGACTTGGACACAGTACCTGGTCTTTGGGTGCAGGTCAATCAGAACCACCCGGTTTTGCTGTATGTCGCTGATATGTTTGGCCTGTAGGAAAACACAGAGAGGTTGTCAGTGTGTGAGCAGCTGCATCACCACAGGGACAGTAAGATGAGACATCATGGTCCAGCCTCAGCCTCCAGGACTGAATGTATGTTAACAGTGTGATGGGATTCAGCTTGTTAAGTCTCAGACTGATACAGAGACTGTCATCTTGAAGCTACAGTGTAGTGGATAAGTGAGGATTACTGTAAAATACATGGTGACAGAATGAACTCACATCATGGTGACACAGCCATGGTCAATGTAAACTAGATAAGTATGTCATGCTAAATCTTCATGTTGTGAAGGGACTCAATATGTCCAAGTTTCATGGAAGGGTTACAAAAGGTCAGGAACACAGGAAATATCTTTTTATTTGGTCATTTACTGAACAAACACTTTGCTTTAAGGCTGATGAGGATGTCCAGATATGGAGTCAGTCCACACTCTGTATGTTTATATAGCAGCACTCATGCTTCACCTGAGATATACACCTGAACATCTTTTTCTACAAAAGCACTCTGAAAATAGAGCACATCAGCTATATCTGTCCTTTGTAATTAGCACTAATTAGCTAATTCTAGCATCCTGACATAAACTAGGATGTTAACATAGGTCATGTTACCTGTTAAACAACAGCATGTTTCCAGGCTGGAGTCAGCACTCAGTTGAGGATGATGATTACTGTTGATAACTATTATGCTGCATTTACACATCAAACCTCTTGTTACTTCCACTGCTGAAAGTTCACACATAGTTTCAACTAATTACCCCACAGTAAGGACAGCAGCTAAGATAATAACTTTATTGTCTAATGGAAAACAAGACACATTCAGCTCCTTTAAAATGAGCTGGAGATTATGTAAATACCAGCAGGGGTGGCTCTGCAGCCACTCTCCCAGCAGTCTGTGGACATGTCTGCAGTGGTGGAGGACGTATTCACATCTACAGTACTAATACAAAGATGTACACACACAAGTAATATCAGTAAAATGTAGTGAAGGCATAAAAGTCCTGGTCTGATTTCTCTGAACGACATATTATTATATCTGGCATCATTAATACTGAAGCCTCAGTGATCAGCAGCTGTAGCTGCTGCAGGTGAAGCTGGTTTAACAGTATATACAGTTTAATAAACAGGGACACAGGTAAATCTGAGTCACATGATTCACAAGATACACTAATCTGTCAGTTTTTCATTTTTTTTTCTCTGATCTTTGATTATTGGTGAGATATTGGATCATCTGAACATTTATTGAGCTGAAACCATATGAGAAGTTTAGAGGAAACATCCCTGTTTGGTGAAGCTGTTAACATCTGAGCCGTGACCTGACCACATTCTCATGTTTGAGAGGTCAGGAGACAAAAGGTCACAAACCACTGGTTGTGCCAAAACCTACAGTTCCTCTAATGACCACTAGGGTCTGGCTCCAACAGTGAGTCAATCTCCATAGACTCCCATGTTAAAATGTCCAACTTTACAGCAGAAATAACTGGTACAAAAACAGTTTTGGTCTCTAGAGCTAATTTCCTCCTTCATTACAACTGTTTAAATAACTCACCTGTTTACATTTTACTAAGGTTTAAAGTTATGTCTAATTGAGGGCGTGACCTCTTTGAGCGACAGGTGTCTAGCAGCTAGCTGTCTGCTCGGCGTGTCCTCAGCTAACTCAGTCAGTGAACATGACCTCTCTGTTTGTGGTGTTGGCTCGTCATGTAAATATCAGAAGGATAACATGACTTCGTTGTTGACTGACTAATAGAACATGAGGAAGTCTCTGCTACTGTTTTTACTTGTGAGTCAAATTCTACTATTATTTTATTTATGTTAGCACTAATTAGCAGGTATCTGTGCCTACACTCATCATACCTCAGTATACCTTGTTAGCTTAGCTCGTTAGCTAGCTAATTAGCCAGTGAATTAGCCTTTAAGCAAGAAACCCAGCTGTGCTAACGATGCTAATGAGAGTATATATTTTCCAGTTATTAAACCAGCTCCACACCCGCGCTCCTACTCTTTGCACATGTTTGGATTAGCTGGGAGTTAGGGGTGGAATTAGACACTGCCAAGAAGGCAATCAGTAGACTTTAAAACAGCTGGGCATGAACTTCACTTTAAAACTGTGATGTCAATAGTTAAATAATCTGACATCAGCTACCCTTTGGTACATGATCAGTTTCTACACTCTGCAGACAAATGATACCCTAAAATAAATACTATATTTACTACTATAAATAACTTAGTGTTTTTTATTCTTCTTGTGACATAATATTCTTTAGATCAATAAGATGTTTCTGTCATGGTGGCCAAACATAATGGTTCCTCCCAGTATCCCACACAAGAACTATAATTGTGAGGTAAAAACCAGTGCATCCACCTTCTCCTTCTGGCCATCCTTCCAGTAGCTGACGTTGTATGTGGCAGAGATGTAGATGTTCCTAAGCGCCGACACTTTGAATATCGGGTCCTTAATGCTGACCTCAATGGTCGCCCCGTTTGAGAGGAGAGAGACCCCAGGTGGACCAATGACGGCTGAGGAAGACGAAGAGGAGAGGAGAGTGGGAAGGACAGCAGCTTGTTTAACAGCACAAAATGTGAAATAAAGTACTGAAAAAAAGCAACATTGACAGTCGTAAGTGTTTGACTTGATTTGATATAACTACAGAGATATCTAACAGTTTGTAGTCATTGTTTAGTCATCCTTCTGTTAATTCACCACCTGTGAGAGGTTTTTAACACTCCACTTCTTTGTGTGTCTGAAAGGTAAAACAAAAACAACAAAATGAAGATGTATTTAACACAAGAGTTTTCAGGTGACAGCCACAATGGGTGTGTTCATTCTTTGAGTTACAGTATAACGATGCTAACGCCACGGCTCAATCAGTACTTCACTAAACGTCAGATTAATGAGTGATGTATGAACAGCCATGATGAACAGTGTGTGTCCAGCAGTGTGTGAACTGTTAATCTGGGATATTATAGATAAACTGTTCTGGATGGAACTGTGGATTCAACTTCTACACTATAAAATAAATTCAAGCACATTTGAGCTCAACCCAGGTCTTTGAAAGAGATTCTGATATTAAAATAATAGACAACACTAACAGTTACCATGATAATTTGAAACAAAGCCACACTGCATCATTAATCAATTTTTCTTTACAACAAGCTACATATCACTCACACATTTGACATATCATCACCATAAAAACTCATATGCTCACATGTTAGCAGTCACAGAGCTATTAGCATGCGTCCAGTGTTCCCTTCCTCTTTAGCTCTTAGGGAAATATCTTAGCTGCTAAATGCTCCACTACGTTCATCAGCTGCTCTCTGACTGAAGCTGTGGTTGAAAAGTCTTTTTTTCTTATGAAGGTTGAAACTGAGGGAAATGAGCTGAAGTATCTGAGCAGCAGCCATGATCACAGCTGCTCCACTTCCCTAAATGATGAGGAAAGGAGCCTCAATGTTTCCTATCTTATTTCCTTTAGTATAGGAAACACTGGACCTTCCTTTACGAAAGGAAAGGAGATAATACCGTCCCACAATTGCGTGCTGCAGCAACATTTAAAGCAATGCACCATTGTAGTTTCACCACAGCAGACCCACATAAATGTAGAAACATCAGAGCAGCTGTTTTATGTTTGTGACTTGATCCAGAACTGATGGAAATCCTTGTCTGATCGACTGAAGCCCTAATCCATAAATATAGATTTATTCTCTTTAAATCAGTCAGGAGTCATCATGAAGAACAAACAGACTGAATTTATAGTTAATAATAACATCATCATAACAAAATACTATAGTCTATACGTGTTGTTGTTTCACTACATCCCCTCCAGTGTTTATATCAGCAAACTATGTACTTATGTCTGAATATTATTTATTCTGATCTCTTGCTCAGTTCCTTATTTCTATTTAATTATTATTTTAATGGCTCATATTTCTCTACATGTATATCTTTATCTTATATCAACATTTCAGTCCTGTTTTGTGTTTGTGGTTAGGAAAGGAGGATTTATCATCCATGTGTGATAAATAAATAAATAAAAAAAGATTAGTGGAAGTGCAGTCAGATTCTTTTCCTAAGTACTGATGAACTCTCCTTCACATCTTTCCTTGACCTCATGACGTGTTCCATCGCAGTCGAGAAGTGGTTAGAGAGGAGGTTATTTAGACTTTTGCACTGCAGCCTGTCTGTCTGCTGTTTGCTGTGAGCAGGTAGAGGACAGAGGCTCTTTACAGCTGTTTAGAGCTGTTTGCAGCTGCAGTAAGACTGAACCAGAACAGTGAAACTTCAGTTCATTAAACCAAAACAATGAGCTGAGAGACAAAAAAATGCTCTGAAGGGAATAGCAGAGGTGAATAATCATTTCCTCTGAGTTTGTCACCTTTTAAATCACACAATCATTTGACCCAATGTTCATATAAACATCCAGATGTTTTTGATAGAACAATCAATTATCTGATCAATAATCAAATCAAAACTCAGCTGACTCATCAGCTGAGTACAACATACTAAAATCATCTTTTTGAGATCAGATCACCTGTATGTCGGGTACAGTACTTTTATTATGACACACAGAGTGTGTACTCACTGTCTTTGTCCGGGGTGATGTGGTTACTCTCCACCCAGGCCGAGCTCTCTGACCCCAGCTGCGCCCGCACTCTGCCGGTGTACTTTCCATACTCCACGATGGGATGATTGAGCTGAGTCAACTCACATAAAAGGTCGGAGGTGTTCACACAGCCGACTGTGTAGGGTATGACTGTAGTGCTGTGGACAAACATCAGCCAGGACTTATTTCAGTTTCAAGTGTGCTGTGATGACAATGTACAAAGAGCACGCTGGGAAAACCCACGATGTTCAACTGAGGGCAAGAAAGTGTGTGTCTAGAATAGAAAAGGCAGCAGTGTGTCAAACTAACAGATTAGCTATGGAAGAGGATTAGGGCCAAATGAGAAAAAATTATTTGGGGTATAAATTCAAGAATTCAGAGAGAAAATCTGAGGATTCAGAAATTAAAGTCAGGATTCACACAGTAATCCCACAGTGAAGGTGAGTGGAATTTAAAACAACAGAATCTCTTTTGAGAAAGTCTCATTGTTTCTCCTGATAATCCACATCCACAGAACACAGTGTCAAAGAAACCACTCAACTTCTCTGGTCGAGTGCAGGCAGATGTCAAGCTAAGCTAACCGGCTAGGCTATGAGAACACATCCAAGCTAGCTTTCATTTCCAGCTGCACACCTGTCCAGGTTTAACAGACTGACTGTGTAAATGCAGCACAGACAAAGAAACTGTCAGAAGAGTGAATGATGAATGGATGTTTGCCAATTCACTGAGCAGCTCAGAGGCCACTGGCAGTAGGGCTGCATGAGATGCAAAAAAAAAAAGAATATTTCAGCAGATATTGTGATTTCAGTAGGAATGATAGTTTTTGCATTTAACTTCCACTGAAAAATTTTAAATGATGATGTGATTTTTGTTGGTGTTGTACCAAACAAACATGTTCCTTTACGTCTGGAGAATATGATTTGTAGGCCAGGGTGTCTCTGTAGCACCACAAGTCTTATGATGCTAACAATGAAGAACAATGTGACACTTTTTACCTTCATCAAAAAAAAATGCAGCTCCTGTGATTTGGGTTTGCAAAAGGCCATATTGCGATTTTAATTATATTTTGATTCCGCCACTCCGGCTACTTTTAAGGTGGAATGTTTTCGTGTTACTCAATGCATCAGCTGATGTGAATCAATCAGTACACCTAAAATGTCAACATGACATCTTTGACCATTCAGTTTGTTTTATTGGCTCTCTCATGACAGACACTTCAGTGATGATCAGATTTTCAAGCATATAAAAGATGTATATGAATATGAATTCAAACTGAGAACTAGAAAATTCTATTCAGTTTGGGAAAAGTAGAATCACCTCCTCGTGGTTGTCTGCCTCCTCTACTCAGACTATTTTCAGATTAGATCCCTGTTTATCCAGAGTCATAGAAAATATGAAATATTTGTGTGAAATTTTCATAGTCAGCCATAATTGCTGTGTGAAGTCTTGAGTTATGGCTAAAAAGTGTCTTGTGAGGTCACCATTACCTTACCTTTGACGACCAAAATCTAATCAGTTTGTCCTTGAATCCGAGTGACTGTTTGTGCCAAATTGTGATTGTGATTGATTGTTCCTTTAAGGCGTTACAGAGATATCGTGTCCACGAGAACGGGATGGACGGACTGTTGTCGGCACAGAGGCATAAACAAGGGGCGGAGCATTGATACAGTGCACTCCAGCAGTGCTACAGCTGTTGGTGAAGTGATCCCTGTCTGCCATATAGTGGCTGCTCTTTTAACTGCAGTCTCTGCACATGAGACAGTTCAGTGGAAGTAGAGTTCTCTGTGTCAGTGACAATGTTTTCACAGTCAGATCTATTCTTTACAGTCTCTATGAAGACATCCTGCCATAAATATCCTGTTACCTGTGCAGGTGTGTGGTACCTGTGTGTAGCATGACCTGCAAACTGTACTGAACACAAAACATTTCCACAGCGGTGACCTCAGGAGGATTTTCCAGTTCAGTTTCTGTGTCATCTCCTCCTCTGGTACAGAATGTGTTGAAACCCTGTGATACCTGTGATAGGCTCTGGAGGACCAGACAAACCTGAACTCCTGGAGAACGTCTTTATTCAGATCACTACAGTTTACACCAGTGTCCACTTATGTTCTTTTTTCTTCAGATGTGTGCTGAACGCGACCATGTAGACAGGGATGGAGAAAAAAAATACTGGGAGAATGAGTGATTGATAAACTGATCATCATTTTGATCAATTTTAGATTCAGAAAGGAAACATGACACCTGTATGTAGAAATATTTCATCATGGTGATGTTAGACCACCTAAACCTTGTGTTTCTCCATGCTCTTAACAGTGTGTGTCAAATTTATATTCACTGGTACCTGCTGCTGGATGCAGGTCCCCATATTCACTTTAATAAATGACTACAAAGGTTTGTTTTTTTTTACTTTTAATACCTGCTGACCCTCAACCCCTAATTCTTGAGTGACAAGTATGTGACTGAGTAACATTTGACTTGTAGAGGAATGTAAACCAGTGAAGCTAAAATGATCAGTTGATTAATTTTTATTCATTTTTTGAAGCTAAAGTGTCCAAACATGTCCAGGTCCAGTTTTTCAGATGTGACATCTGTTGGTTATTTGATAGGAAGCTGAACAGCTCTCAGCTTTGGACTGTCGGCTGAATACAACAATCTGAATGTGAAAATGATGGGATCTTTTTAATCACTCTCTGCCATTTATAGACTAAATGATTGTTCTCTGAATCAGTAATGGAAATAATGTGTTGTGGCAGCTGTGGGTTTAACACAGACAGGTCATGGCTGTGCAGCAAAACCACAGAGGGTTTATTAGTTTAGTGTTATTTGATCAATGTGGACTCACTTGTACTCAACTGTGTAGACCAGGTTGCTGGTTGCCCCTTCAGATGCATTCCACCTCAGCACCAGATCCATGTTGTAGGAAGTCAGGTGGACATTTGTGGGTCTGCTGAGGATCCCTGATACCACTGCACAGGCCATATACAAACACAATGTGACACAAAGTTAGTGTCATCAGTTACACTCTATACTTTACACACTAACATTACTAACACCTGTAATTATCCCATCAGCCAATCATATGGCAGCAGTAGATCCAGGTGAGGATCTTCTGTTGATGAGGGAAAATGTGACTCAGTGACTTTGACAGTGACATGACTGCTGGTCTGAGTTTTTGCTAAACTGCTGATCTCCACACTCAGCAGTCTCTAGAGTTTTTACTCAGAATTGAGCAACAACAAAAGCGTCCAGTGAGCAGCAGCTCTGTGTTGATGACAGAGGTCAGAGGTCTACGGCTATGGTCACTCAGATAACCACTCTGTACAACTGTGTTGAGCAGAGAAGCTTCAGAGTGAACAACACGTCCAACCTACACCAGCAGAGACCACATCAGGTTCCACTTCCTGCCACCAAGACCAGAACCTGAACCTGAGGCTGCAGTGGACACAGACTCACCACTTGATGGATCTGGATTTGTGCTGAGTCAGCAGATGGTCGAGTCAGAGTCTGAATCCATGGAGACAACCTGCCTTGTGTCAACAGTCCAGGCTGGGGGTGGTGGTGTGATGGTGTGGGGAACGTACCAATCAATCATGGTCTGATTGTCTCAGTCTATCTGAGTATTGTTGCTGACTATGTTCATCCCTTCATGGCCACAGTTCACCATCTTCTAATGGCTCCTTCCAGCAGGATCATGCTCCATTTCTCAAACTGGTATCATCAACATGACAGTGAGTTCAGTTGACCCCCCAGTCTCCAGATCTGAATCCAGTAGAATCAGCAGAAATGATGTGATCCATCATGTCAACATGGAGCAGAGTCTCAGAGGAAAGTTTCAACATCTGCTGGATCCATGACATGAAGAACTGAGGAACTACCAAGTGTGTTCCCTCTCCACTGTCAGAAGTGTTCATGAACGTTTGATCTCTGGAAATGTGAAAGAGACACTGGACCTGTTCTATCTGGTGTTCCTAATAACTGCTCCGTGAGCGGACGACTTGTGACAACACAACAAGGTAATGTCACAGTCTTAACTTACTGTAACCCAGAGTGATACTAAGTCAAAGTTAATTTCACTTACAGAATCCCACCTGGGATTTTAGAAAAACAAATTTAACACAAATGATCTGACTGCCTCATTTTTACACAGCTGATCATGCTTTTCTACAGAACACATTTCTGATTCATTAAGTTCAGTCACAAAGTGTCAGGACACAGTCACAGCGACTTCACTGTTGGCTGGATTCACAATGATTCCTATCAACTCCAGTTCCAGTAACAGTCACATACACAAACTGTGACACACACACACAAAACAGACAGATGTTACCTGTGGATCCACATAGTGTTGAAAACGTCAGGATGAAGGTGCGGAAGGTGGCAGACATGTTGTCCTCTCCGGTCAGTTTAAAGTGTCGTCCAGCTGACGGTCTGTTTCATTTATGACTCCAATATTTCCTGGTACAATGAGTAAAATAAGGCGGGGAACTCCGCGGAAACGAAACTCCTCTCTGCGCAGAAACGTCTGAGGCTTCGTGTAACCCGCCTATCGGTGTACGCTGTAAAAAATGTCAGCCATGTTGACAGAGGTTTAAACAGAGGAGGGGGCGCAGCCCGCATGTTTTCATTTATTGAGCTGCCGTTGGCGGTAAATGATCAGACAGGACTTGTTTTGCAGACTGCCTGTGAACACACCACACACTGTTACTGTGTCAAACCCATGGATGTATTATGTCAAACCACTCTCTACTCACTGTACAGTCCGCTGTGTTACAGTAACTTCACCGTTCTGTAGTGTGGTGATAAAGTGAAATAAATAAAGTGATAAAGTGTTCGCCTTGGTGGCGTTAAGTCGCTGCAGGACGTCACCGCGTCACATGATTTTAAGGCTTCTGGAACCACCTATGTGACGACAGAGCTCTGTCCTGACTGCCACACATGACACATGAACGGGCTCTGTTTTTATAAGAACTAAGAACTACTAAGAACTTCAGAGCTATACTCTCCTTAAAAGAATGTTCTGAATTTATGTAGCCGATTTCCAAAAGAAATTAAAGTGAGTATTTAAATAGTTATGTTTGATGCAATGCAATATTTTAAGATAAGATTGAAGCACATGTTGTATGTAATACAACTTTTTTTATTTTTTGGAAAATATTTATAAGAAAAAATGGGCAAGAACCAAGCCAACTTTCCTGCACTTTGTTGATGCTATAAACAAAAAAGCTATTAAGACCTTGAACGGTTGAATTTATTTAGTTGGATATGCTGCATATAACACCAACTCTGGCTTTGTTACATGTGAAATATGTTCTTTTATTATTTATTTATTTAAATTTATTTATTGATTTGTTATTGTCTTTTCTTTGATTGTTTTATTGTATATGTCTACGTTTGCACGTGAGAAAAAGATCTGTTCTCTCCTGAGGTTCTCTCAGTTGGACTCAACGATGAACTGATTTGATAATGGTGGTCAAAGGTAAAGGTCACAGTGAGTGTTCTTGTGAATGCAATATATCAGGAACGCCTGGAGGGAAGTTCATCACTTCTGACACATTATGATCTCACAAAACACATTTTTGGCCACAACCCACAAATTCATACACTAATTATGACACAATTTAAAATTAAGTGATGACATTTTTTATCCAAATGGTCAATGGTCAACTTCACTGTGCCATCATAATGTTCTGCAAAAACTGTTGTGGCCATATTCAATGCTGTAACTCAGAAAGGAGAGACTGTAGCCATATTTCCTGCAACTTGGCTGGTTGGAGGAAATATGGCTACCGGGAGGAGATAATTCTAGTTTTACCCACAGTGGCCCTAATCTGTTCTAAGACAGAGCCCAGAGAGATGGGAAATACATGAATCACACTTGAATTAAAGTTAAAATGTATGTGGAAATTTATAACAAGACCAAAGAGAACAAGATGATCATAGATAGATACTTTACTTATCCCCTAGGGGAAATTCATGTGTCCATTGTTTTAATAAACACTCTTGGTGCAACTTAGACACATCATCAGTGTTGTATCCTGGGTTCACTGGGTGTTTCGGGTCTCACAACAGACACCCTCGCCCAGGTGACCCAGCCGGGGTTGATCAGGCCCCGGCTTGTGTCTAAGTAGCTTGTGTAGCCCACGGATCCCCCCGCTTGATCCACAGCCATCTTGACGCCTTTTCTGCTGCGTCAGTGATGTCTCTGATGGCTCTCCTGTTCTGCAGTCCCTTCACTCCCAGCATCTTGAGTGCCCTGATGAGAGACTGGCCGACAAATAATAATAATAATAATAACTGTTGATAATAAATAAACAATAATAATTAGATTAGTCCACTTCCTTTGGCTGAGGTGTTGTATAGCCTGATAGCAGTGGGAACAAAGGATCTCCTGAACCTCTCTGATCTGCAGCGCAGTGAGATGAGACCTTTGCTGCACCTGTAGCATAGTCGACTTTAATAATAGATGGTGAACTCTGAGAACAAAGATATAATAAACCTGATAAATATCTGTTGATTTCAGTTTTATTCATTGGGAAATTAAAGTGAAAGAACTGCAGTTACATTAAAAGGCTTTCCAGTTTAACCATGCACATACAGCAAGATGTAGATCAGTGTTAGCTTCAACGCTGACATTAACACAAGTCCCACAACTCTTCTCCAGACATCATACATACATCAGTGTCACGCTGTTATGACATGATTATTTTTATGTTATAAAAATATGAATAGTATCAGTAACAGTATTATTTGTGTAATAATAAGGAAGGGTTCTTGTTAAAAATGTATACATTTGTGAAAACATCGTTATTATGTCAAAAACTTATTGTTTAACTTTTAATTTCACAATGTGATATTGAGCAGTTTCTCATGGAAGAAAGAAGCCTCCATAAGAAACACTGACATAAGGAAAGTTTTATAACAATTTATAAAGACATTTCACTCTGATACTGAACCATGAACATTACCCTGAACTTCCTCTAAGGCCCTATCAGGTCTACCTAAACCAGCTCCCCTGGTCTCGATTCTCAGTCCTGTCCCTCTCCAACACTTTACATTTTTAATCTGCAGTCAGTTCAGTCTTCACAGTCGTCCTCTCCCCCCCTCAGAGCAGCTCCTCAGTGGTGGAGTCGGGCTGTGGGCAGTCAGGAGACAGTTGGTAGAGTCTTTATTCTGTAGCTGTGTATGATTAGAGATAAGACAGATATAGGTTCTATATAAAACAATGAGTTTTCATATAGGCCTGAAATATATGATTTAGGGCTGCACAATTAATCGAAATATAATTAAATCAAATTATGGTCAAGTGCAAATCCAAATCACAGTTAGCTGAATTTTTTTGATAAAGGTAAAATGTGTCACATAGTTGTTCATTGTTAGCACCATAAGTGTTTTGGTGCTACAGACGCAGACTACAAATGATATTCTCCAGATGTAAAGGAACATCTTTGTTTGGTACAAGACCAACAAAAATCACATCATTATCATCATTTTAAATTATTTTTCATCGAAAAAACGATCATTCCCACTAAAATCTAAAAACTGAAATAATCGTAGTATGATTTTGTTTGCATATCATGCAGCCCTAATAGGATTATTTTTAATCTTTAGTTTTCAATGAAGCGATTAATTAGTCTATAAAGGAGAACACTGGGCCAGTCTGTGTACACAGAGAAGGAGATGAGACTAACATGTCACTGACTAACTCTAACAAAAATCTAATGACTACAATTTGACTAAAAGTAGATGAAAATCCAATGTGAAAGCCAACATTCCTCTTCAGGTCCCAGCACAGAGCTGGATCAGTTACCAGAGTTCTGGATGAGCTCAGCCAACTGCCATGAACCATTAGTCCAATGAAGAAGAGCCCCAGCACACAGGAAGCCCCCAGCAGGCCGAAGACCAAATACGCTGTAAAACAAGGGGAGAGCAACTCACATAAGACCCTGAACCTTTGCTGTTTGGAATAAACACCTGTTTTCACTGCCAATTAGCATGTGGCTAACTGTGATCACACTTCAGTGTTAAACTGTTAAATCCTGTGTTCTCAGAGAGGAACCGTTAAATTCAAATCAACTTCCCTCTTTCAGCATTTTAGCCCAGAGCTAAAACACTGGAGAGCGACAGGAGCCTGTTCAGACACACAGGATCAGTTTCAATACATTCTACCCTCATGAAGGCGTCACACAAGTTTTTAATACTAAAGGATACAGCACACACTGTCCAGGGAAATACAAAGAACTACAGTGAGGACCATGCTCAGCCTCAGATTAATTTCGGATTAACTCAGTATGGGAACTGTGGATTCTGTTCCCATCACTTAAAAAATAGAAAGTTCATTACTGTAGTTTTAAGTCAGAATCAGTCTGACACAATCCGAAACAGACGAGGTATAGTCAGAAAACATAACTGATAAAAACCTGTGAGGGTGGACCAAGGATGTGTCTGGTCTTTAAAGAGTATCTTAATGAGTGTACTGGAACTTTCCTACACTGTCGGTATACACAGCGCCGTACCTGAGGTTGTGGGTGGAGGGGGGCTGGTGAAGGCACAGTAAGGTCGACTGGAGACAGAGTTGGAGGTGAAGTGTGTGGTCACAGTGATGGTCACACAGTATTCTACACCTGGCTGCAGGTACGTGATCACAGTCTCCTCTTTGTAAGGCAGACTCAATCTGAACTGAAACACAACACAAGCCAGAAGATACAGTGGTGACACATGTCAAGAAAAGAAATGACATCATTCATGGAGCAGGGTGAGGTGGTAATGAAGTTTCTGTAGGTGGGAACAAATTATGATCAAATCTCACAGTTTGGTTGACAACAAAATATCCTTTCAGACAAGTGTTGTGTTCTCTTCACACAGTCAGTAAAACTCATCCTGGTATTTAAATGGAAAATGAAGGACGTCGAGTAGCTCAGTTGGATGAGCATCCGCCCCATGTGTAGAGGCTACAGTCCTCGCTGCAATTAGCCCCAGTTCAAGTCCTGCATCGGACAAGCCCTTACCTGCGTGTCATTCCCCCTCTCTCTGCCACCCCATTTCCTGTCTCTCTCTACTGCACTATCAATAAAGGCACAAAAAGCCTGAAAAAATAAATAAAAAATAAATAAATAAATGGAAAATGAACAACGCTCCAAGTCAAAAAGACAAACAACTTCCCTTTTTGTTTGGTAGGCTCAGATCTAGGGGAGGATACGGAAAAATTTCTGCTCAGAGAACAGTGGTCTCCATCATTCTGACATGAAGAAGTCTGGAACAACCAGGACTCTTCTAGAGCTGGACTTGGACTAACTGAGACATCAGGGAGAAGAGAGGAGACCAAGAACCTGATGGTCTCTCTGAGATCCACAGATCCTGTGTCCAGTGGCTGTTTCCTCCAGACATGAAGCTTAGACCTGAGACCAAACAGCTGCTTCTTTACAAACTGTCACTGAATTTAGGCTTCTTCTGGCCACTCTGACATGAAGCCCCAATCACTGGAGAGCTGCAGTGATGGTTGTCCTTCTGGAAGTTTCTCCACCTCAGTTACATACACAACACTGTTTTCAAGTTCTCCCTTTGAATGATATAATATTGCATAACAAAGGTTTGCAGTTTCACATCTCTCTGTCTGTGATATCTGGGGGACCTCAGGCCCCTGCCTGATCAGGACTACTACCACTGTGGTTTCTGATCTCACCATCACGGTCCTGTGACCCAGCTGTGGGGCAAAGTGATGCAACACCTTCTGAACCGCCCTCAGGTCCAGAAGGTGGATGCAGTGGATCTATTCTGACCACCATGTTTTGATCTATCATTCACCCCCTGATCTTTACACCTTGGAACAGCATGTAGTTCATGTTGGGAGATAAACTTTATAAAAGTTGAACTGTAGATAAAATACAATTTCTGACTATTCTGTATCATATTGATGGAGTACTATTCATGATGTGAGCAGCATGTTAATGTTTTAGTCTGTTGAGTTGCAGCTAATTTGCATAGAGTGTATGTAAAATCTTATTGTTATTAAAGCTATAATCTGTTTTCCTCATTAAAATGTCTAAAAAATTCTAGGCCTATGTTCTATATGTTGTTGAGTTGTGTTCTTACATTCTCCCAAATGTTTCCATCAATTCTCAAACCAAAGAAATCTGTGATTTTAATCATGGTAACTTTTTATTGGTTGTCTGTCAATGACATCATATCTTCTATGATCATGTGTCAGTGTGTTTGGAAATGTTAGACAGCTCAGCTCCTGTGTCACTGAATAGCGTCAGTGAATCTCTGATTTTTAAAGGTAAACTGCTGCATTTGAATCCCCTGGTGTGTTTGTTATGGAGAGGAGGACACCTCTGTGGATAATTAAGCTGCTGGTAAAAACCTGTGTCTTGTCTCTCCACAGAAACTGTTGTTGTTTCTGCAGTAACAGTCTCACTTCCTGTGCCACAGTGTTGAACAACAAAGAGCTGCCACACACCAGGTGTTCACAACAGGAAACACAGACTGGATCACTACGAACATTTCCTGGATGTAACACCTCAAACTGCTTTACTAAGGAAGCCTGTTCTGCCCAGACTGAAACTACAGATGTGACGATGAATTCTCTGTGTTCTTCTCATCAGACTCTGTGTTTCCTTGAACACAGGAACACGAGCTGGTGAGAGGAGACGAGGGTAAAACCACACATCCTTAAAAACATCGGAGGGAAACCAGCCTCTAAGTCTGATTGGCTGTAAACGAGTCTGTCACAGACATGAAGCAGAGCTGCTTTGTGAGTTTAAACTTCTGATTTCCCAGTATTTCATACTGCTTCGAGTTTCATTTACAGTTGTTTGCGATTGCTTACACACTTATTTCAGAATTTGCCTCACTCCGTCAAAACTCCACACACAAGCGAAATAAGACAGAACACTTGGAACTGAAGATCTCACTTCTACATCGAAATGAAACTGCAATCTCAACACATGTGCACCATCTGAATGACTCTTTCAAAGCAGCAACAACACACTGATGAACTTAACCAAAACATTGCTGTCTTTACAACTTTATATATCTTTTTGTCATACAGGCTTCACACAACACAGAAATAGAAAATATTCAAAAACAGCTGATTTTACCAGAACAGGTCAGTAGGTCAGTATAATGTATGCTGCTGCATCAAAGTCCAAGACTCTGGAACAGAAGCATGTTTACACTACTGCTTATGTCACATGCTTTTTCTGAACAACACCACATGATCTACTGCCATTACTTCAGTGATACGTCCACATATTCATAGTGACTCTCACACTGTTCCTCTCTAATAAACCCTGTACTGCTGCTTCATTGTAAGTTGGTGTTTATGTACTGAAAGGTACAGTCTAGTAGAATGTTGAAGACATGTTCTCCAGTCTAGATGTCTGTATTATGGATGCTACTGTGTACAGACTGAGGACTGGTCTCTCTGCCCAGTCTCCCTCAGGGTCAGACCATGATTTACAGTTTTTTAAACTGCTTACACACAAAATATTTATACATCACAATTTCCTGTCACTCAAAGAACAAAAACACTCACCAAATCTGCAAAACCATGAGTTAATATTCTCAGATTCTGACTCAGTTTTCTGTGTCATAAAACACTTTTTGCAAAACACTACACACAGCTCTCTACCAATAAAATCACTTGCTTACCTTTTCTGAACACAACCAATCATAATGCTGCATATATTCACCAGTGTCACACATCCACTCTGCACATGTGCAAACACTAATTGTTTAACTGATCATAAACCAATCACTGCTTTAGAATAGTCCAATAAATAGGCCAAAGGTCAAACAATGGATGAAAACACAACTATGAGAGAGGCTGGACAGAGAGTCCAACACAACATGAGTCCGTTTACAGTGGCTCCAAAGTAGAAAATAAATACAAAAATACATATTCTTGCACTGTGTTAGCCACCCATTTACTGCACTGCATTGTGGGAATGAATGGTTATTTTTCTGCACAATACAGCCAACTTAAAAAAAAATATATATATATATGTGTGTACTATACTGCACACACCCACACTGTTTGTTACTGTAATAGTAGAAGGGCAGAGTTATCATGGAAGACACATGTTTACGGAGGAACAGGAAGTGGACACTTTAAATATGGTTTTTACACATGTGTACTGTTTTTGTACAAATTCCCATATGGTTTTGTTTTCTTGTACAACACTGTACTACATTTACAACATCAATGTTTTGGATGACTAAAAATCTTCAGTTTCAACATTGCCAGGTGTTTATTTTATTTTAACCCCTCTCAATAGATCACTGTACTGTCACTTTACAACATTGTATGGAAAGGTATATACAAGCCTTTTGAAGATTATTTACTACAATGAGAAAAGTGTTTGGCATTTGATACAAATACTTGATTCTGAGATGCTTTTAGGATATTTTCAATGCAGTGTTTCATTTTGCAGCAGATATGTGGCACTTTGCATTTTGTGTGAGCAATTTTTGGACTAGAGTTTTGAAAAAACGAGACCAAGTTGTAAAAAACGATGTGACATGGTCCACCAAAGTGGCCCTAATGTCAGCTGAAATGTGTCTGTCTATTGCCTGGTCTCCTTTGTTGTTCTCCACCTCCTCTACCTCTACCTCTCACTGCTTTAATGTTTGAACTGCTGCCCTCTGGTAAGCACTACAGGTCTCAACACACACCTCAAGACTCAGAAACAGTTTCCTCTCCTAGGCCATTAGCACATTAAACGCAAAGTAAGCATTGAGAAACTGCTTTCCTCTTGTGCATTACTGTCATTCTGCAATAATCACCAAATCAACTGCTATTCATCTCACACTGCAATTTGATATGTATTTGTGCTATATTATTATGTTATTTATTATTATTTATTATTGTGCAATATAATACAACTTGAATTTTATGTGACTGTTTTGTACATATGTTCTTTTTTATATTATTTATCTTCTTTTATTAGAAATCATCTGTCTTTTTGTTACTATGCACCAATTGAGGAGCAGAACTCCTAATATCGTTGTATGCAGAACTTACAATGACAGTAAAATCTTTCTAATTCTAATCGAAGATTATAAAAAGAGCACATGACAATTTTTTGCTAAAAATCCATCTTAAAACAGGTTATGTAACAGCTGCCTGCTGCTGGACACACTGTTGGTGAGAGTGCACTGTGATTCCAAACCAGACTAAACGTTTCTGTAGAGTCCAGCGATAATTATCTGTGGGTCACTTTACACACAGTCAACTGATACGTTAGGAAGATCAAAACATGGTTTAGAGCTGCTGTCAGTCCGACACATACCTGTGTCTCGTCCCTGGTCCTTTGCACATGCAGCTCGACTGTTCTGTAGAGGTTCTCCAGCTGCAGGTTCTGCTGCCCCCCCCTTGTAACAGGAAGTCTGAGCTGCAGGATCAAACAGTTCCCACAGCCAGACACAGACACACCAGGAGGTCCCAACACAGCTGCAGGGAGAAATCAACTGACATTCACTCAACTGGGAAGAGAGCAATCACAAGACAAATAACTATAGTTTAAAAACAATGAAACAAAGATGGCTGCCAGTGTAGTGATGGTGGAGGAGATATTTCACTCCATTTCTCTGAGAAATGTGTGTAACTTTTAAACTGTCTGTGTGTGAATGTGTCGGTTGTCTCACTGTCTGACAGAGGCTGGAACCATCCTGACACAGTCCAGTTGGATGTCTGGGTGGCTGTGAAGGCCTGGACCCGGGCTCGGTACTGAGTGTACGGGTCCTTGAATGCTGTGGTAAGATTACACATCTGTGCAGCCTTCAGCTCCAAACAACCCACCACTGGTCTCCATGAGGACTTCCTCCAAAGTAAAAGACAAGACAAAAAAAGTAGAACAAAGACAAAGTAGAACATGTGTGTCTGAACTGTGGCGGAGTTGAGGTGTGAAGTTGTAGAAAAATCAAAGTAAAGTATTTCAGTGACTGTACAGTTTGTTATTCTCCAACACTGGATTATCATACAGGAAGTGTATGTATGTGTGACATGAACATCTGGCAACATCTGTCTCACTGAGGCCTCCACACCCCCACCCCCCACCCCCACGCTTGTGTGTGCTGGAAACACTTCCATTGTGCTGTAGGACTGAATTTGTGTCTTTGCATGTGTTTTCTTAAGATGCAGTGCATTGAGCTCTCAGGGCCACCGTACATTTCCTCTAGGTCCATCATCAGAGCTTGTGTGTTATGGTAAAACTAATGACCTCCCCATCATCCTCAGCTGTACTGTGAGTTCAGTGCTTATTACTAAATGTCATTATTAAGGTATTATTATATTATTACTTGGTAAAACGCTAATAAAAGATCACAAAGCCTGATTAAATTATGGATGGAGGAACCTAATGATAAATAAGAAAATGTAAAATCATCATCAACAAAATCAAGATGGAGTAAAGAGTTTTATAAAAATAAATATATTTGACTGAACTTGTCCTTGAAGACTTTTTATTTATTTATTTATATATTTATATTTTATTTAGCTGTTTGTTATTTGTCAGTATTATGACTAAGTCTTTGTTCCTATTGTGTGATCAGTAAAGAGATCAGTTATTTGAAAACTGTTTAAACACCAGTAACACTAAACACCCCTTATTAGAGCCCAACTCATGATCATGCTGGGCTGATATTGAGAAAGTATTCAGAACCCTTCATTATGTTGTACATTTCATTTCAAATTCCTCATCATTCTACACACAACAACTCATAATGACGAGGTTAGTGTGAAAAAATGTTTCTAGAAATGGGTTTGCAAATTTATTAAAAATGAAAAATGTGCTTTTTAGTACGAGAATCCATGTACCCATCATGTTAACCTATATAAGTCTAAATGTCCCAAGCATATTTCCTTCCTCTTTATCTGACCTTAATGGTGCCAGTCGAGTGAATACCTCTGGCGGATGATTTGGACACTGAAGTGGGTGTTGGAGGGGGTCCCAGGACCTGGGAGGAAGCTGAGTGTATGCTCCATGTTGAAGGAAGAGATGGAGACGTTGGAAGGTGGTGGGAGTGAGACACCAACCTCTGTAGAGGGTGAGAGAGTAAGAACATAAACACACATCTGTATACATATCAACATCCATATACACACATCTATATACACGTCATCCATATACATACATCTACATACTGTACATATGTCATCCATATACACACATCTTTATACATTTATCATCCATATACATACATCTACATACATGTCATTCATATACACACATCTACATACATGTCATTCATATACACACATCTATATACATATCAACATCTAGATATATACATCTATATACACATCAACATCTATATACACACATCTATATACACCTCATTCGTATTCACAGATCTATAAACACGTCATCTATATACACATCAACATCCATATACACACATCTATATACACTCGTCATCTATATACACACATCTATATACACTTTAACATTCATATACTCACATCTACATACATGTCATCTATAAACACACATCCATATACACATCAACATTCATATACACACAAAATTCATACACACTTCTATATACGCATGTCACCCATATACACACATCTATATACACATCAACATCCATACACACATCTACTGTATATACACGTCATCCATATACACACGTCTACACACACCTTGTCACAGTAAAATCTATAAATCCAAGTTTAAAGGTGGAAAAACAACAACAGTGACAAAGCTCACCAGTACAGCAGCAGCTCTTTGCTCACACATTGATCATAAACCTCTTACTTTCTCCCACCTTCAATCCATGGAGCATTAGCAAGTTGCAAATGCAGAAGAAGAAGCATCCACAGCTCCATTGTTCCTCCATGGACTGTTAGCGCTCGAAGATAAAAGTCTTACATAAGATATTAAGGTTCTTGTTTTTGGGTTGGAGCACACAACATATATGTGTGGGGGTTGGGAAACTAACACTGGCTGTTATCATGTACACGGCTGAGTTTCTATTTCCACAGAAGTCCCTCCCTGTGCATTGAACTCAGTGAGCTGTCACAGCTGATGGAGGCAGAGTGGTTCACACTGGAGTCAGTAAACTTGGCTTCACCTTCACTTTGTTTTTGATCTGTCAGAGTTTTCTTCATTGTTATTATCATGATAAACATGTCTGTACTGTATGAAGTGGGATTCAATAAGTCATGGAAGATTAGCTGCTGTTTCTATAACAATACAACTGACAGAACATGATTTGTTGTTTCATTGTTACTTTATTATTGTTGTGTTTATGGCTGAACACTGAGTAATATGAGACATTGAATAACTTGATACTGAGGTAATACATGATTTTACAGTCAGTATAAAAATACAAATGTGTCACAATTATGGAATTTGATTATATTGTTTATATTGTTTCTGCATAGTGAAACTTGTAATAATAAATGTATGAATGACATAACATAACATAAGTGCATTGTCAATATGATTGAACACTGGCCTAGTTAACAAATAGAGAAAAGTATGAACATCAACACATGTATGAATCATGGACTGTACAAATACTGGGCAAATGACTCTAAATTAATCAAAGTATCAAAAACGGCAGTTGATTCATTTTCTTTTGATGAACTAATGACTGAAGCAGCGAACAGTTTCAGCTCAGGTTTTACAGTAACTCCTCATCCAGTGGACCTGTTTGACAAACTACTGTTTTCTATTCCAGTTTTCAGCTCATGTTGAGGGAGAATGTTTGAAGATAAAATACCATTTAAGACACAGTCACACTGGTGAACATCATCAATGACATTCAGAACAACACAGCTGATGAAATGAATTGTAGCTACTTTCCCTCCATTCAGATTTCTTCTACCTCAGTTCATGATTACTGCTCCAGCTGTGAGTTATCTCTCATTGATGTCATATAAAATATATCAAATATATCTGCTCCCTGCTCTGCAGAAAAGAAAACAGAAACTGCACAATTAAACAATAAAAGCCATTCATTGCTGCTGTTTTTTAGCTGAATTCGTATGAAATCTAAAGCAAAATTAAAAACGTGTGAAATATCAAGTGTTCCCTTATCAGGTTAGTCCTCCAGCTGCTGATCGAACTGTCTGGCATCCTGGAAACAGCAGTGAGGATCCTTTTCTCCAAGCTGTGACTCATCTGGCTGATGAGGCTGCATGATTTGCAGTAAACTATCAGAGGAGGAACTGGTCTCAAGAACATCTTCACTCTCTCATCCAAAACCTCTCTCTCTGTTTTCTGAGGTTTGTTTGTATTTCAAGTCAGAGTCACCAAACTGAAGGACATTGAGCATCATCAGTCTGTTAACACCGTTATCAACAGTCATGGTTTGACAGTGTTTCAGTTTCTTTCTAAATCAAAGTGGAGCATGATTGAGATGGACTCAGTCAGAGGGGTGGCACAGTCACAGAGACACTGGGAATGATGGAGGATGTGACTCTGTGGAATGGAAGCTGCCATGGCAAAAAGAAAATAAAACCATAAAAATATAAAATTATTACATCCATTAAAAAAGTATTCATCAAAAAACATCCCAGTAAATAAAAAGCTGTGATGCTTTGAAAAATGTTGTGAACAGAGAAAATAAACAAATGTAAACCAAGGGTCTCCAACAGGTGGCTCGTGAGCTCCCAGTGGGGCGGGGGGGAGTGGGAGTTCTGACTGAATCATGACTGATTTTTCTCTACTGTGACTTTCACATGTTTTTGGATGTTGATATTTGAAGACTTGTTAAATGCTCTTATTGATCTGCTTTGGTTTGGAGATCAGTTTGAGTGTTTTGATAGGATATGTGAATGATTGTAACCAGTAATATTAGACATGAGGAGCTCTCAGACACTTTTATTTTGGCAAAGTAGCTCTCAGAGTGAAAAAGGTTGGAGACCCCTGGTGTAAATGTAGCAGAATGTTTCACATGTGAGTCACACCAGTTCAGGGCTTGTACAACATGTCTGGACCACTCCAGAGAACACACACTGAACACAACACATGTGAAGAATGTAACAAGCTTAAATCAGTCATATATCATGAAGAACAGATCTGCTTCCAACATGACGACCTTTGACCCTTTAGACGACTGCTCTGATAAGATCTGACTCTTTATCAGAAACAATAAGAAAAGTTCACTGGTTTCAAACTGTAGTCCCACACATCGACGCTGTGTGAGGAGCAGCTCAGTGTCAGTGTCATGATCAGGCTGATCTGACAACATCACTATAATAAATTCTTTAAAACATTAGTACATGGACGCCCCATATATCCAGACTCCTCCTCCTCCTCATCATCATTATCATCAGCAGAGCAGGAGACGGTCTCTATGGTAACTTCCTGGTCATCCCAGGTTTGTGAAGGTTGAACTAGTGTGATGTTGACCTCCTCTGAGGCTGAATGAGACTCTGGCTCGGCCACACCAAGATGCTCCTCCTCCTCTTCCTCATGGCTGCCAAAGGTTAATGTGAGGAGGTTAACGTCCTGGCTGTCCTCCTCCTCCTTACCTGTGTGGATTGTTACAACAGTCACACTGTGTGTGTCTGTGTGTGTGCTCAGTGTGTGGTCCACTTCAACACTGGGATGTGTCTCTGTTAAAACAGGAACTTCAGTCTGAAGTGGACTGAAGAGGTCTGATGTTTGGTTTGAGGAGCCGCCGGGCCGTGGTTCAGGCTCTGGGGATAAAGGAGCTGATAAAGATGATGAAGATGAAGAAGAGGAGGACAGGAGGTTAGTGCCCCCCCGCAGTTTATAACCTCTTCTGCTGTCTCCGTTACTCTCTGTCCCACCCTGTCCATCACTCTCCTCTGACGAAGAGCAGCTGCTCCTCCTCTCACCTGCAGAGGGCAGCGTGGCTTTAACATTCAGGAGGGAGGATAGAGACGTTCTGGATGGAGTGACGACCAGGACCACGTCTACGTGATGGACGGAGGTCTGAGACACAGAGAGACAGAGAAGACAAAGACAAAGATGTTTAACAGAGACAGCACATGTTCTCTCATACAACTGGAAACTAAGGACACTGTGAATCCATGAGTGGGACTGAGACATCACTGAGGGCTCCGACATGTGATCGATGAATGACTGAATATTGATCATCCTTCATCGAAACAAATGACTCAACGTGTCCTTGCTTCTGACAGTGAACAATTTCCTTTGGTTCAGTGTCATTATTTTAACTAACTATGGGATTTTATTTATTAAAAGCTGATAATAAGATTGTTTTGGTCTATAATTGATCGTAAAACAGTGAAAACACCTTCAGACCAAACACAGATACTCTGTTTAATTCTTACATTTGCAAAGCTGAAATATAGTTTGATAAATGACTTTGATGATTAATAGATGATCTTTAATTATCAGTCATCTGATTGATTGACTATGGCAGCTCTGTGAGTTGTTTCTCAAGCTGAGTTTTTAGTGAAATTGGTGTAAATGTATAAATTCAATCACGTTTAATGTAGTTTCAACAGGAAACTTCAAGGTCCTCCTCAAGGTTCAGGTTTAAAAAAGTCACTTCAGGTGGTTTGACTCTGTAGAGTTTCAATGATTGTGCACTCAGACCTCCACCACATGTCCTCCTCCATCAGATGTGAGTGAAACTCAGTGTGTGTGTTCAGGAGGTACTGTAGGTTTAATCAGGATTGACCAAAAGCAACTTGAGTAAGGAGCCAATCTGTAATAGGCCACGCCCACTCGTACCAATCAGATTTTGGTTAATACTGGATCCAAAGCATGGACACCAGCTTTGGTGAAATTTTCCCACCAGGTTTTCAGTTATGTACCAAGATCTGTGATGACTGGTTCATGAGTTACAGCCAATATTCTCCAAGTTTCTCCATCTCCACACAGGATCTCTGGAGCTCAAAGAGACCACCAGGGTCCTGGTGTCCCCTCTTCTCCCTGATGTTAGTCCAGGTCCAGCTCTAGAAGAGTCCAGGTTGCTCCAGACTTCTTCATGTCAGAATGAGGGAGATCACTGTTCTTCTCAGGAACCTTCAGTGCAGCAGAAATGTTTTTGATCCTCGACACAATCCTGTCTCTAAGCTCTGCAGCAGTTTCTTCCTCCTCATGGTTTCTGCTCTGATCTGCATCGTCAGCTGCGAGATCTGATATAGACAGGTGTGTGTCTGTCCACATCATGTCCAATCAGAGTTTACCACAGGTGAACTTCAGTCAAGGTGTAGAAACATCCCAGAGATGATCCAGAGAAATGGAGGAACCTGAGCTTAACTTCAACTGTCACAGTAATGTGTCTGAATACTTAATTCAATGTGAGATATCAATTTTTACTTTTTGATATGTTTGTAATAAATCATAAAATTGAGGTACTGAGAGGAGAATAATAAGGGAAAATTAATTTAAATGATTTTATCAGAAAACTACAACATAACAACATGCAAACAGTTCAGGCTCTAATACTGTCTGACTGTAGTATAGTGTTGTTGTGTAGTGTGAACTGCTTGTTCTGATATTTAACAGAAATGAAGCTGTTTTTTCCATGAACAACCAACAATGTGGAAATATTACTGAATCATATTAAAGAACCTGCCTGGAGCTCGCTGTGTTTCAGAAAATAAAGTGTGGGTGAACCACCACCAGCCTCATGTTCTCTCCAAACCTCACATCTCATATATGGGCCACATCCGAGGCCTGTATGAGGGGAACCCCCCCTCTACATCTCACTGCCACTCTGGGTGACTTTAGGCCATTAATAATGGAACATGAAACTGCACCATATTTCATAGAAAAGTGAGTTAAAATCCCCCTCACATGAGACCAACACCACAAATATAAAAGGTTAACAACAACCGACGCCCACACTCACAACAGTTCTCATGTCACAGTGAGCTGCAGTGAAATAAAGCAGGTTTCAGAAGCTGCTGGTGACGGACACCTGAGTGAAGCTCTGTTACCTGTGTACTCATGTTTACTGACACAGCTCTCAGTCATTCATCTGAACACATCTGATTTTTAAAATACCATAATTTATCACACATGACAACAGGATTTGTGTAGAGTTAAGTGACACCATTTAAAAATTCTATACTTTATATCTGTGTATCTACACTGAACCCCTGCTTATTCATTCAATTCTCTTACAAAAATGTTTAAACATCCACTCAACAAGTTTTTAGGAGTTTAGCACATCTAAAAACTCTTTAAATGATCATTCATGTTTTTTTCCATAAAAAGTTCAACTGTCTTGTTAAAATTTCAGCCATTTTGACTTCAGTGAAAAACACATTTTAAACAGTAGCTCAGTTTTCTGTGGCTCTTCATTGGACCTTGGACCCCTGGATCTTTTTTTTTTTTTTAGATATTGACCAATTAACTTTCCATGGGGTGGAGCTTAGTTGGACATTGCCCATAACTAATTAATGATTTCTCAAATGATCATAAATGTTGTCAGATATTTTCAGTCCCTGTTTAGGTCCAGAACTACTAGAGTACCAAAACATGTACGTCAAACCTGGTGGACAGAATCTCACCTGATTTAGTGAACATGATCTGGAGGCCAGTATTAACCAAAACCAGAGTGACTTATTGACTGATTAAAGTGGGCGTGGCCTCCTAATCAATATCTGCCATCTTGTGTCTGTTCGGCTTAAAGGTGCAATCCTAGTACCCTCAAACAACTGCTCCCATTAGCACTATGTGTACTTCACTACCACCACAGTTAAATGTAACTGTTACTTACCAGGACCAGCGGTAGTGGTCTCCTCCTCAGACAGATGAAACCAGTGAAGATCAGCAGGCCAAAGACCACCACACCGAACATCACCAACAAGCAGAGCATGGCTGAGATCCATGGGTCTGCAGAGGGGAGAGGGGGTAAGGGCATGATGGGGTCACGAGAAAAAAAAAAGTTGAGGTTTTGAAAAAAAAGAAAAGAAAAAAATATTCAAAAAAAAAAAAAGCCACATGAAGCAGTGGGCAGGGTCTAATTCCTCTGAAGAAGGAAACAGCTCAGGAAGCAGCAAACAGCAGCGAGTGAATTCCAGGCAAAACTGAGCTGCGGTGTTTTCACATGTTGAAAGTTCAGCCACCAGTTTTTATGTCATTTTCAAAAGGTGCAGATTTGCAATTTTCTCTCTAAGAACTGACTGACAGCTACACAAACATAACTTTTCTGTCATGGACAATTTAACTGTATGGTCATAATAAAACACTGACTGTTAATTATGAAATATCTAGGTGAAGGTCTCTCTCTCTCTCTTGTTACAACTCTTCACATAATGGATGATTATTACAGTTTTTCTCAATGGCTTTGATGCAATTCACTCATCAGAAACATCATCCTCACAACTCAAAATGCAGTTCTCAGAACACTAAATCACCAGTGTAAAAGCCTCTAAAACAATCAAACCGTGTTCATGTGTCGAAACGTTAAGTCAGTCATTGTCACTAATGAATTAAACCTTTTCACCAGAGCTTCAAGACTTAGACTCCAAATGTTTTGATGTTTAAAATAGATAGTAAAAATGATCAGACACAAACTGAACTATAGTTACCATAATAACATGTTGGAAAAACAAATATATTCTGTTTCAACATTGCATTGGTGTTTATTGTACTGTGTACATTTCAACCTCTAAACAGATCTGTCCTGTCACTTTACAACACTGTATGGAAATGTATATACAAGCCTGTGGAAAACAGAAGAGCTTTAGATTTAGAACATGGTGTATCCAAAAATTTACTATAATAAAAAAAGTTTTTGGCATTTGATGCAAATACTTGATTTTTAGATGTTTTTACTGTATGGTATTTTCAATGCATTTTGAAGCAGATTTGTGGCACTTTGCATTTTGTGTGCAATTTTTGGATTTGTGTGAAGAGTTTTGAAAAAATGAGACCTAGTTTAGAAAATGTGTGAAAGCAGTGGGAAAAAAATTGTATCTGTAAATTCACACAATATAACTGCTGTAACTGAGGAAAGCAACTATTGAAAGGAAGGAAAGGAACTATGCATTACAAAGTAGAAAAATATGCAATCAAACTTAGAACATAGCATCAATTATAGTACAGTAAATTAATACCATATATATATATATATATATATATTTGTGTGTGTGAGACTGGCCTTGCTCTCTCATACATATTTGAAGAAAGTTTAAAGTTATTTGATTGAAAACACTGATGCTGCAGTATGAGTGAGTGAGTGAGAAGTCTGTCATTCTATCTGATGAAGGTACAAACTGTTTTCATGAGTCACAGTCAGATATAGAGAAAACGTCTTTAGTAGTGAACTTTGTGTGGATACAAGGGAAGTTTGTACAAATACAATGAGAAATGCTAATGTGTGTGCTAACTGTTTTGAGAACTGCATTAAGAAAGGTGAGAGTGATGTTTCTGATGTCAGAATTGGATTGAAGCAATTGAGAAAACCCTTAATACTAATTATTATTCAAGGCTCAGCAGTAACACTGGTGGTGTGGACACGTGTACAAGCTACAGCAGTTCAGCAGGTAGCCGTCATGCACAGGTGAGGTCAGAGGTGGGTGTGGCTCAAGTTGTAGCTCCCTCAGTGGGTGATGATGTTTAAGAGTCTGATGAAGTTTATTGTTCTGACTGTTTCTTCCTCCTTCTTTACTTTGACCTCACATGATTCTGTTTTAACACGTGCTGCTAAATTTACTATGATTAATAATTATTATTATTGTTATTAGATTTCATTATTACTTATGTCAGTAGGAGCATTACACTTCCCATTACATTACTATTGTTACTGCCACTACTATCAATTATTAATATTACCGTCATTGCATGCTGGTCTTTTCCTCTCCGCACTCTCTCTCTCTCCCAACCGAGAGGTTCCTGCCTCTGTAAAGGAAGTCTTTCCTTGCCACTGTCACCTAGTGAAGCTTTTGGTGGGAATTGTTGGGTCTCTGTAAATAATATTATAAAGAGAAGGTCTAGACCTGCTCTATTTGGAAAGTGCCTTGAAAGAACTTCTGTTGTGAATTGGTATCATACAAATAAAATGGCAGGCTTGACTTGACAGGTTTTACAGACTGTTAGTTTTGTGTCTTCCACACTGATAGCATGTTGTGTGTGTGTGTGTGTGTGTGTGTGTGTGCTCTTGTGTGAACATGAACCATCATGTGGAACATGAGTGTAAATTTGAGCAGCACAAGATCAGTTATCTGAGACTGATCTGCCGATCACTGTTCACAGCTGATCACACTGAAAACCAGCTGTTTCCTGTAACCAGCTGATTGATCAGTGATCTCTGGTGTGAAAGGAGTGTGACCTCCAAATTAAAAACTCAAACAATCACAGATGTCAATTTCCATCCTTTAAATTGTGTCAGGCAACCTATTCCTCTGTCACAGTGTCATGGCACAGACTGAGGAACTAGCTGTTGATGACAAATGACTAGAGGCCTAATCAGCAGGGTAATTGAAAGCACTTGTGTGAGGGTGCCAGTACCTGCAGAATAGAGGCGAGAGGTGAAAGCACACACAGGCTGGCTGTAGTTGGAGTTCTTGGACTCCAAGCTATCTGAGAAGCAGACTGAGACACAGTACTGTCTTCCAGGGGCCAGATTCTCCACAATCTGTCCTCTCAGAGACTTGGTGTCCTTGAAGAGCTGCACACAGAGACCACAGACAAACATTAGGACACAGCATTAGTCCCATTGATTAAACCACAGGAAGCCATGAGACTGTATGTACATCATTTTTACACCAGTTCTACACCAACTAACCTTAAATGCATCACATGATCTTTTTTCATGTCACACTTCCATTGTATACACAGACATCTGGCAGTGAGTGGACAATGGGCTTCAGAGAAGAATAAAAGTGCACTATGTGACACCATTAGATTTAATTATAGCATCCCCATATATAAAAATTCCCTCACAGTTGACAGTTTTTAGATCAGCTGTGTTGTGTCTGATGAGCCTTAAAACTACTCAAACTCAGACTTCCTGGGTAGCATCTTCTCACCTGTACCTGCAGCAGCACTCCCACTTCAATAGAGCTGTTGCATTTTTTAAGCAGTGCTATTTTGAATGCCCACTTAAACTTGCCAGTCATGATGGCACAACTGCATAAACTGGTGTTGTTAAAACAATGTGACAGTACCTGGGCTCTGTCTGCACTGTTGCTCTGGATCTTGAGTTTGTAATCAAGTGTCTCATAGGCCTCTCTAAGATGTTCCATGGGAGGCTGAAGTTCCACACACAGGTTTCTGCCACAGGGAATCACAGTCAGCAGGGGCAGGTCCATGTGAGCTGGAGGACACAGACACATTAGAGATACTTTAGTTACATAAACTCACATTTCCATCACATGACAATCACTTGACAGGTTTGTCATGTTGTCAGTGTTGGAACAAAAGACTGAACATAAGGCCAGCGTGAACATGATAAGTATCAATCATTAATAAGTTACCTCACTGAGACTGTTGTGTTAAGTGGGCTGCAGTTATTTCAATGTGTCAAACAGATTTAATCAACATTTAAGTGAATCTATCAGATCAGACTCAGTATCAGCAGACACAATATGAAAGTCCAAAAAAACCTGATCAGTGCATCCCGACACATTTTAGTCAGTCATTACCAATAATTCACTGAAAAGGACGTAAGATATAAACATATGGTGCCCTGAAAGTCTCACACCACATTCAAGTGAATGGGAAATATACAGACAACTCCCATAAGAAACACAGTACAGTATGTTACTGGAGCTCATGAATGTAATTTTATTAACTGCTCTTAGTCTGGCCCCTCCCTTAGGACTAATTTGACTTGGGAGATCCTTCCAGGAGCTATTACCCCCAACAACATAGCCCCCAGGATCACTGGGACACACAAACCCCTCCACCACATCAAAGTGGTATTCTCGGAGGGGGATCATTGATGGAGCTGTAGCACATCGTCCAGAAAAGGGAAACTGGGGCACCCTGCAGGGGCAACACCTGGAACGGGAGCTGGCAGGCACACGTGTGGCAGCCAGGCCTTGAGTTGTGGGGCCCAAAAAGTGACATGCAGCACCCGCCCTGGGGGGGCCACGCGCAGGCATAGGCATTAAGGGACGGGTGCTTTGCAAGCCAGGTGGTAGGCAAAGGAACTTGAGCTGGTACAGGAGTCGGAGCGGTACCACCTAAATATGGTTGAGTTCACCTCTATACATGGCATAGGTTCTGGACCCAAACTCCTGGAGAGGGGCTGGACTTTCCTTTTGCGGAGTTGCACAGGGTGATAGGCACCAGACGGGCATGGGGATACTCACAAGCCCCCAGCTGAGTGCTGCTGCCCTCACGAGAGGGTCATGTGTGTGTGCTTATGCACTGAACAACAAGTAATAGGCCTTCTTGGAGTCTCTGGGTGGTGTCCTAGAAAGCTTTTGGCCCAATGCTCATGTGGACAACAATGGAGAAACCAGGTGGGGTGTTATTAGGAGGAACATCCTCCCTGATCTGAACCTAAGCGGTGTTTCGTTATTGGACTTCTATGCTAGTCATGGATTGGCCATAACAAACACCATGTTTCAGCATAAAGTGGTTCTTAAGTGTACCTGATACCAGAGCATCTATTTGGCCTAAGGTGCTCTGGTATCAGGTACATCAATGAGTGACTTTGTGGTTGTGTCACGAGATCTGCGGCTCTATGGTGGTGAGTTGGATCAGATGGTGGGGAAAGCTGCCAGACAGCCCTGGGAAACCCAAATGTGTAGTGAGGGTGAACTGTTTAATTGGCCATGAGTGTGGGTTTTAGTTTTATGTGTAATAGGAATACAGGAAAATGTATGAAGAGATAATAAATAACAATAAAAAGAGATGAAAAAAAAAAAGGAATTGGCGAGCTGGCAGGCGCCTCCAGCTCTCGATAAATCTCTGACGGGTGTCTTTACTATTTTCAAGCAAACATTTCACTGTAAATGTGACTCTGTCATTAATAGTGTCGCTGCATCGTAATCAGTGAAAGGTGCAGCCAAAACTCCCAAAGAGGAAGAAAAGAGCCACAACTTTACTTAATTTTTTATAAAAGTTTCCTAAATTTACATTTCATCCCAATCAGTGATGACTTTAAGGCGAGTTCACGAGGAGGGGAATCATGAGAGCAGGTGAAACAGAGTAATGTGTTTTGGAGAGAGCAGAAGTTTTCCTCCGTTTTATAGTTTGAATCACATTTCTACGTGCAGGTATGAGAGAGCTGGGTGACTCAGAAATAATGTGAAATTTTGTAGAAAAAAGGTGAAATTTTGTAGAAAAAAGGTGAAATTTTGTAGAAAAAAGGTGAAATTTTGTGGGTTTTTAAAGAAAATTCCAATGCATTCCTAATGCATTATTTATCCCCAGCATTTTGGGAATAACTTTGGGAAAAATTGGAATTTTAACACCAAAAGTCATAGCACCTCTTTCGGGATCAAGACGCACGTTTTGAAGTATATATTACCGGGGTTTTCTCAAAGCTGCGGGACGAGTTACCCGTGGCACTAATAAGCCCGAAGGAATATTAATAGATGCACTAATTAGTGCCACGGGTGCTCAGCTCCGAGGCACTCCTCTACAGCTAGAATAGCTGAGAGGAGTGCCTCGGGGCGGAGCTATTAATATTCTTTCGGGCTTATTATTATTCTTCCACCAAATTTTGGCGCGTAACTCGTCCCGCAGCTTTGAGAAAACCCCGGTAATATATACATCAAAACAGGTTTTTGAAAAGAAGTAACGGTTTTCTCATAATTTGCAATTGTTTTAAGCCATGTAGAAGCCAAATTCTGGGCAGATTTTCACATTGCCATGGCAACGGCAGCTCCTGACCTGTGTGCGTGTGTGCGTGCCTAGCAACCAGATAACCAACTCTCCAAGCTCCGCTAGCTTTACATTAGCCGCATGTTAGGTCTTAAATTACATTTAGTTAGGTCTTAAATATGTAAGTCCATTTACTGCTTCCTTTGTTGCTTTTCTTTTTGTTTTGTTAAAAGAGTGAATGAAGTTGTGACGGTCTCCGCTGAGACAGAGGAGAGGAGAAGCTACTAGCCCTCTCTCGCTGTCACTTCTAGTCACGTTGCTCTCCTCCCCAGTAATGTTAAATTTAGCACCGAAAAAAACATAATAGTGGTAATTTAAATAGCGGTTCATGGGATTTATTAACCCTCAGGGGTCCCTCTGTCCTTTTTTGGACATTTTCTTCACTTTTCTTTTTTGATTTGCTGATCATTTTGGCTGTGTTACAGCTGAAGGTATGGATTTCTGCAAGAAAGTGTCTTTTTTTTACATATTTTTAAAATCTAATGTCAGTTACTGTTACAGGTCTATTATACACTGGTAACACATTTTGTAACCTCTGGGGTTCCTCGCGTCCAAAAAAGGACACACAAAGAAAATGCTATAAAATCATCATTTATCAATATTTTTTTCTGCTTCTTTTTGCATACATCTCTTAAACCACTTCAGTTCTGCTCAAACCTACCAAATGTTTATTAGTTTTCAGGATTTTAACCCTTTAAATGCCAGTTTGAAGACATGTTGCCTCTTGTTTAATTAAAAAAAACAACACAGAATATGAGATATGACATAGGGATGTGACATTGTTTTATATCAGTCTTTTATATCAAGACATTTCTCAAAACCAGAATATGATCAGGGTGACTTTTGAACACTGGAAATAAATCATGTACTCGTCCCGGCAGTAGCCCCCGTGGCACTCAAAATTTCCCTGGAATTTTCTAGTTTAATTTGTTCTTGTATTTATTTTGCTTGTAAAAGGTGTTTTAGCCAGTTGAAGGCACAGTACACATGATCAGGACGGTACCACCTCCACCTCATGTTGAACCAGGAAACACCCTGGACAGAATGAGATGATTCAAAGGAAAGAAGTGGACTGTTTGGAAGAGCAGAATCAAGTTAAGACATGTCCATTGAGGTTCCATTTCATTTAACATCATCCAGTGTCAGTAGAGAGCAACTTACTGTCTTTGATGGGAATAAATCCTGGGTGAGTCAGCGGTTGTGAGGCCTGTCCTTCCAGCCATGCTGTCACCTGGACTAAGTAGACTTGTCTCAGTTCAGGGAAGACATCTGAGAGGTTGCAAACCAGTGGGTGCTGGACACGCTCGCAGCCAGACACTGGCACCCAGTATTTTCCCCTGCAGGACCGGAGAGGTGGGAAACAAGCAGATTTAAGGAGGTGAAAAGAACCAATGAGTTGTTTGTTTTTAATCCTCTGTATTAAAATGAACAGAGGATTTTAATCAGACAGAGGAGGACTGTGATGACTGATTCACATTAAAGACCTACCACTTCCTACACATTAAAATGAGACACATCTCTGATCTCTGATCTGTCTCAGACTGACCTGATGACATGGTGGTTTGTGCATTAAACATAAACACTACATGGATAGAGAGACTTCAACTCAGTACACTCTCTGTGACTGACATCTTTGTGTGTGTGTGTGTGTGTGTGTGTGTAGCAGTTGGTTCACAGATAAACCCACTTGTCTGTGTTGACAGTGACATTGTAGTAGACTCCAGGGGGGGTCTCTGGTCCAGGCTGCCATTTCAACATGTGAATGAGGTGGATGGAGGTCAGGTTGAGGTTGACAGGCTGGGGCACTTTACTCATAGCTGGAATACAAACAAACAGGACATTTCATGGAAATGCAAACATAAATTTCATATGCACCTAACTCATGTTTATCTTTGCCTCCAGGGAAAACCATGAGTTATCATCTGAGCTGAGTAACTTTGAGTCATCACCTCAGCTCTGACGTCCCAACACTGGCTTCTGATTCAATTTAGGATTCAACTCAAGATCCTGCTCCTCTTCTATAAGGCCTGGAATAACCCTGGTCCACAGTATAGCAGTGAAATATAAATGTCTTCTACCTCTGCCCCTCAGCTCCTCTGAACAAGGCCTACATGTTGTACCTCACTCAGACTGAAACCTCTTGGGGGTTGTGTGTTTGTCCAGGGTCCCAGACTGTGGACCAGTCTCCCCGAGAGTCCAGTCAGCAAACTGGGTTTTCATGTCAAAGCTGAAGACCCAAAGTGGTATTGTTCTGGGTTATTATGACACTTACAAGGTATTTAAATAAAGATTTACAAATAAAATGTACTAAATCATTTGATTTGTTAATAACAGTCCTGTAAGTATTTACTGCTCCATGCTGGCAGGTTGTGTAGTCCAGAGATATACCAAGGTGAACTCCACCCAACTGTATACAGGTGGGGAGTACTGCTGCATACACTCAGCTGTCAGTTATAAGGAACACCCAGCTAAAGCTAAAACTAAAGCAGCCTAATCCAACAGTGCTGCAATAAATCCTCCGTCATAAAGGTTGTGTGTTCAGTTTGTGTTGAAACTGTTGATTTACCTGTGTGATCATTCTGGAGGCTGCAGTGTGGTGCTGATGAACCATAATGCATTACAGAGAGACGTTTCTATTGTTTTGTCTACCCCACTTATATCAGTGAGGGTGAGCTACATACAGTGGGGAGAACAAGTATTTGATACACTGCCGATTTTGCAGGTTTTCCAACTTTCAAAGCATGTAGAGGTCTGTAATTTTTATCATAGGTACTCTTCAACTTTGAGTGACGGAATCTAAAACAAAAATCCAGGAAGTCACATTGTATGATTTTTAAATAATTAATTTGCATTTTATTGCATGACATAAGTATTTGATACATCAGAAAAACAGAACTTAATATTTGGTACAGAAACCTTTGTTTGCAATTACAGAGATCAGATGTTTCCTGTAGTTCTTGACCAGGTTTGCACACACTGCAGCAGGGATTTTGGCCCACTCCTCCATACAGATCTTCTCCAGATCCTTCAGGTTTCGGGGCTGTCGCTGGGCAATACGGACTTTCAGCTCCCTCCAAAGATTTTTCTATTGGGTTCAGGTCTGGAGACTGGCTAGGCCACTCCAGGACCTTGAGATGCGTCTTACGGAGCCACTCCTTAGTTGCCCTGGCTGTGTGTTTTGGTTCGTTGTCATGCTGGAAGACCCAGCCACGACCCATCTTCAATGTTCTTACTGAGGGAAGGAGGTTGTTAGCCAAGATCTCGCGATACATGGCCCCATCCATCCTCCCCTCAATACGGTGCAGTTGTCCTGTCCCCTTTGCAGAAAAGCATCCACAAAGAATGATGTTTCCACCTCCATGCTTCACAGTTGGGATGGTGTTCTCTGGGTTGTACTCATCCTTCTTCTTCCTCCAAATACGGCGAGTGGAGTTTAGACCAAAAAGCTCTATTTTTGTCTTATCAGACCACATGACCTTCTCCCATTCCTCCTCTGGATCATCTAGATGGTCATTGGCAAACTTCAGACAGGCCTGGACATGAGTTGGCTTGAGTACCGTGCGCTGCAGGATTTTAATCCATGACGGCGTAGTGTGTTACTAATGGTTTTCTGCCGTGTAGTTCTGGGCTGATCCCTCACCTTCCTCATGATCATTAATGCCCCACGAGGTGAGATCTTGCATGGAGCCCCAGACTGAGGGAGACTGACCGTCATCTTGAACTTCTTCCATTTTCTAATAATTGTGCCAACAGTTGTTGCCTTCTCACCAAGCTGCTCGCCTATGGTCCTGTAGCCCATCCCAGCCTTGTGCAGGTCTACAGTTTGATCCCTGATGTCCTTACACAGCTCTCTGGTCTTGGCCATTGTGGAGAGGTTGGAGTCTGTTTGATTGAGTGTGTGGACAGGTGTCTTTTATACAGGTAACAAGTTCAAACAGGTGCAGTTAATACAGGTAATGAGTGGAGAACAGGAGGGCTTCCTAAAGAAGAACTAACTATGACGGTTTGTGCGAGCCAGAATTCTTAGTGGTTGGTAGGTGATCAAATACTTGTCATGCAATAAAATGCAAATTAAAAATCATACAATGTGATTTTCTGGATTTTTGTTTTAGATTCCGTCTCTCACAGTTGAAGTGTACCTATGATAAAAATTACAGACCTCTACTTGCTTTGTAAGTGGGAAAACCTGCAAAATCAGCAGTGTATCAAATACTTGTTGTCCCCACTGTAACAGGACCACCTGTCTGTATAACAGTTAAACAGCACCACACACTACATCCACAAAAACCATCACATAGGTGAATCAGCAACTCCACAACAGCTTCAGTCAACACTGGACATTAGGGCTCACTACAGGACTGCTGTGCTGGACTACATCAGTCTCAGTTGTGTGTTAAAGGGAGCTGCACAGAATCTGACCAACCAAAGTGAGGTCACCTGAGTCAGCGTCAGGTGGGTCTGAAGACAACATGTTAGAAAAAACTGTGGGGTTGTGAAGCTGGCTACATTAGCCGCTACTAGCATAACACACACATAACTCAATCACATCTGTGCTGTGACTTCTGTACAACAGTATAAACAGAGATGCTGTAATCTGAAGAATAACGTGCAGCTACAGCTGAAGACAAATGTAGTATGTATATAAATAGTATATAAAACCTACAGCAGTGTGTCAGAGAAGTGGAGCAGAAGTAAAACAACATCATAAAATGGAAATAAAGTAAAGTGCACAAATCTTGAATTTGTACATAGGTACAGATCCTGGGTCAGTGTATATTTTTACAGTCCTATGGTGGCCCTGAGAGCTCAGTGTACTGCATCTTAAGAAAACACATGTAAACAGACAAAACACAAACAACTTCAGAAAACATCTTCATCAGTTTGACAACACATGACCTGCAAATACTCACAACACAACGGAGGTGTTTCCAGGGGACATTAAAAAGTGATGAACCTGGCTGGGACACGCTTGCATGGATGTATTGAATGTATTACATGTATTATCATACATCCATGTGCACTTGTTGTTCAATGCTTTTAACTTCAAAAGTCACAAAAGCATTGAACAACATTAAGTGCGTCCCAGCCAGATTCACACTTTCAAGTTATCTTTTGCTTTAATACCGATAGCGACAGACAGAGAGAGAGAGAGAGAGAGAGAGAGAGAGAGAGAGGGAGAGGGAGAGGATGATATGAAGCAAAGAGCAATGGGTTGAACTCGAACCCGTCGCGGTGGAACCAGTGTCACTGCGGTTAGGACTACGTCTTCATGATACCTGCTCTACCAGGTGAGGTTTTCTGCATTTGCAGTGCGTTTGAGTATTTGGTTGTGTTGTGAATGTTAGCAATTCATGTGTTGTCAAACTGATGAAGATGTTTTCTGAATTTGTTTGTGTTTTGTCTGTTTGCATGCGTTTTCTTCTGTTGCAGTGGATTGAGCTCTCAGGGCCACCATACAAACACCTTCTGTCACATACGTGTTTACTTAAAATGACTAAACGTGCCGTCCTCAGAAGTGACACACATCACCTGACTGTACTCACCTGACAGGACCTGAGGGAGCCATATGAGCATCCAAAAGAGAGTAGTCATGACATCCATCACTGACGCAATGCCACCACACCTCTCCGGACTCTTTCACTTTCCATATTAACTCAGTGTGTAAGTATGAACCTGCAGTTAGATCACGTTTTACTGTTATTACTAGTCAGATACATGTACAACATCAAACTCGTTATTTCCCTCTGTAGTTATTTCTACTGTAAACTGAGGCAACTTCAATCTATACTTCATAACACTACCTTAACTTTTATAAGCACTGGCGGTCAGCGGGCTTCATTTGGTCTCTGTATGTCAGTTAGCTCAACAACACATTCAGGTTACTGTTAGTTTCATCAAGAAACTCAAATCTCCCTGCGACAGACACCGCTGCCTGTCTCTATCTCTACATGCCCACTCACCGGAAACACATCGCTAGCTAGCTAACGGATTAGTTTTTCAGCTGTCAGCGTGTGGACTGGCAGCTTCCATAATAAGTCAGAGGCTATAGACTGTTCGTCACGTACCGGCGTGTGTTTGAAGAGGCTGTTTCCTGTCCCGAGAAGAAGCATTTCTGCTGCAAACACACTGCAGACAGCCGGACTTTAGCCCACAGCTGCTCCTGCTACCTTCAAAGACCTGTAGGATAACTGATTAACCAGAGCAGCACCGGACACTGACACATAAGAAACTGACAACAGTAACAGAATAGAACCCACTTTATTTTACAAATCCGGCGGTAAAGAGCGGGTAATTAATGTGTTTTGTTGAAAAATAATAACTGTTGAAATATACAACTAAAAAAGAGGACGTGCGACAAAGCAGTCTGTTGTGATGGTTACATTACAAATATAAAATATAAATATAAATATAAATATAAAAAATGAACAGCTTTCTCATGCTTGTGTCTCTAAAACTATCATGCTTATGCTTTGCTCTTTTGTTCTGTTTTTGCTCTTTCAAATTGGCTGTAGACGAAATTTTAATTTGTCTGGAGGTTCCTGAAGGCACCATCAGTGGAGGTTGTTGACAGAAAATCACATGACCTAGGAGAAGTAGAGGAGCCTGTCATCACGAGAGGCTGCTCGGTGTGTGTGCCCAGCTGCGCTGTACTGAGACGTCAGTGATGTACATGAAATGTTGACGTCATGACAGCGTCATGTACTCAGCACGTAGATGTCAGAGCTTTAAAGTTAGACTCCTCTAGGTCAAGTCCTTCATTTTACTGTGTTCCATACACAATGAATGTACTGTAATTATATTACACTGCTTACATAATTAAAATCGACATACTTTACAGGATACTATACAACACGTTCACCAACCAGTCAAACTGCCTTTGGAGTGTAATTCTGCACCTGTGAATGGTGCCTCCATTTCTACTTCCTACAGATGTGCACAGCATTCTGGGACTTATATCTACATCAACATCACATGTTTCAGTATGTAGACATTACAAACTCAGAGCCAGGTTAGAAATAGTGTCAAGTATAGAGTTGTAACACAGGTCTTTTCTTAATTTCCCACAATGTCAAAATGCCCCTCACCCTACATGTACTTCCCCTGCTATGACAAGTCAAAATGGCTGCTGTGTGAAAGGCCTGTATTAAATGTGGATTCATTTACATTTTGCATTTTCGTCTGACTCTTCAGGCATTTCTGTATCAATAGGTCCAATATATGCAAGCTCTTATTATGGATGAACATGAATGTAAATGGTTACAAGGACAAGGATGTGATGAGTTTGCTGCCTTCAGGACCTACTGATGTGTACAAGGTTACAGTGCTGTTGTAACTGCAGGGGAAATGGAATGATGCATTATGTCCTCGTCAGACCTCCAAAACAAAATCCACCTCTTTAACCATATCAAAGATTTCTCCTTCATAAAAAAGGAAGGCCCACTGTGAAGAAATGGTCCCCAAACACACAACACACATCATGACCCGACCTGTAAAGTGTCGTCAGATAATGTGTTGTTATTAATAAAAAATTGTTAACACACATCAGAGCTAAATATCATGTATGTGCCATATATCCAAAGAATCTTTCCTTCTTCTCCTCCTCCTCCTCCTCCTCTTCATGTTGTGTCTCACAGGTTCTGATGTAGCCTGCACCATGTGTGTTCTGATAATCGGTTTGTGAGTCTGTGTGTTGGACTGTGAGCTGTCCAGCCTCCAGATCACCTAGTCTCAGAAGGTCTGTCAGAGAGTCTCTTGTATTCTGCTCCTCTTCCTCTTTCTCTTCCTCGCCCGCATCCAGTGCGGCAAGGGTGACTGAGAATAGGTTGATGTTGCCGGAGCTGTCAAACACCTCCTCCTTCATCTCCTCCTCCTCCTCCTCCTCTTTCTCACCTATGACATGTCCCTGGACTCCAGTCTGACTCTCCTCAGGCATGACAGAAACCTTTGCTTTGGTCTCATCTTCATCAAGTCCCCGATGTGGGATCCCACCTTCATGCTGTGCGTCTGGTACCTCCACCTCAGCTGACAACGTCTTTGTCAGACTCCCACAATCCCCTGGTGCACCTAGCTCGCTGTTCACCGGCACATTACCAGAGCCCCAGGACAAACTTTCCCCTGAGGAAAGCTGTGCGTCTCTGTCAATGTAGACGTTTAGCTCCTCCTCTTCCTCCTCATCTTCATCCTCATTAGGATGTGGCATTATGGGATTGGTGTGGTTCCTCTGTTTGTCCTTCTCTGAGCTAATGGAGACTGAGTCTGGGATGGTCCTCTTTGGTGTCAGGGTGTAGCCTTGGTTCAGAGCCATCTAGAGTGGAAAAAAGGGAACAACAATTCTGATGAAAGACTAGACATCATGTCAGTGAGGAAAGATATTGTTGTAATTTGGCTTAACAGAGTCAAAGTTCAAATCTTCAAAGGTATAGTTCAAAATTCTGTTTTTCAAATCTGTGTAGATGGATGGATGATTCTTACGATTATTGCTCTGGGCAACGTTGCCTTCACTTTACAAATGAGTCCAGTGTACTGGAGGCAAAACACAGAGGTCATCAGGAGGCCCAGAACTATAATCAGAAGAGCAGCAACTATACCTATAACAAAGGGGTCTGAACACACACACACACACACACACACACACACACACACACACACACACACACACACAGTAATACATCCTTCAGTTTGGATGTGTTATAGGTGCTATTTCCTGACAAAAAATGTGACCAACACATAGGTCTTTTATTTTAATGCAGGTGCAGGGTGTGTGTGCTCAGGTTATTTCCTACCACTTCTGGTATTACAGTGGTATCTAACTCCAGACGGTATCAGAACCCTTTAATGTATGATAATGAATTCCTTCTGATTCCACTACATATCCAGGTACACCAAGAACCCATAAGACCAGGATTTGGTGATAAGCAAGGATATGAACTTGTACCTAATGTCTATAAGCAGCTGAGTAAATGAAGCATTAATGATCAACACATTACAAAGAGGTCAGAATCAAACAGATGAATAAATCTGATCTCTGAATGACAAACTGATGACAGTGAAATTGAGCATGTGGTTCAGAGTTACTCAGGGGATGATCATCTTCTCTAGGACTTTAAATTAATCTGACATCCACCCTTATCACGGACAGCAGCGTTGACTCAGACCAAACCCCGTTCAGTTGGTCACAAAGCTTCACTTGTGACTCTCCCAGCCAGGTCACGCCCTGATCTGGGATTGTACTGGAATTGACCTGGGATTGATCTGGGACTGATCTGGGATTGACCTGGAATTAATCTTGGAGTGATCTGGGATTGATGTGGGACTGACCTAGGATTGATCTGGGATTAATTTAGAAGTGACGTGGGATTGATCCAGGAGCGATCTGGGATTGATCTGGGAGAGAGGTCTGGGTCCTAACTACACTGCACTTCACACCATGCCCCTTTAGAAACAAAAATAAAGCCCACGAACTTCAAGTTTCGGTCTCTTAACGTTATATCATAACAATGATGAGCTCTGAAGGCTCAGCTCACCTCTGTGCTCCACACTTCCCGTAAGGATGCATTCTGAGGTGGAGGGCTGAGTGTTTCCATTCACACGGATATGTGTGTTCACCTGTACACAGTACTTCACGCCCTCCTGTAGGTTATCAAGAGTAAAACTCTTGTTTCGGGTCTCCAGAGACATCTTATGCTAGAGGAGAAAAAATATAATTCAAATAATTTCCATTCATCTGTGTCCCCAGCACTCTGAACTGAAACAATGAGAGAGGAGCTGGAAAATATCTGGTTAACCCGTTGTGTCTCTGTTACATACACATGTTTAGAGGTAATGCATTTAATTCAGTACTCCATGTGAACATTCCCCCTTTGAGCACTTTATTAGGAACACCTGGTCACCTGCTTATTCATGTAATTATCTAACCAGCCAATCATGTGGCAGCAGCAGATCCAGGTGAGGATCTTCTGTTGATGAGGGAAAATGTGACTCAGTGACTTTGACAGTGACATGACTGCTGGTCTGAGTTTTTGTCAAACTGCTGATCTCCTGGATTTTCACACTCAGCAGTCTGTAGAGTTTTTACTCAGAATGGAGCAACAACAAAAGCGTCCAGTGAGCAGCAGCTCAGTGTTGATGACAGAGGTCAGAGGTCTGAGGAGAATGGACAGACTGGTTGGAACTGACAGAAAGGCTACGCTCACTCAGATAACCACTCTGTACAACTGTACTGAGCAGAGAAGCTTCAGAGTGAACAACACGTCCAACCTACAACAGCAGAGACCACATCAGGTTCCACGTCCTGTCACCAAGACCAGAAACCTGAGGCTGCAGTGGACACAGACTCACCACCTGATGGATCTGGATTTGTGCTGAGTAAGCGTCTGAATCCATGGAGACAACCTGCCTTGTGTCAACAGTCCAGGCTGGGGGAGGTGGTGTGATGGTGTGGGGAACGTACCAATCAATCATGGTCTGATTGTCTCAGTCTATCTGAGTATTGTTGCTGACTATGTTCATCCCTTCATGGCCACAGTTCACCATCTTCTAATGGCTCCTTCCAGCAGGATCATGCTCCATGTCACTGTTACATGCCATGGTGTTATGTGTGCTGGTGTGCCCTCTGTCCTCCCCTCTCCTCCAACAGGTGGCTCAGCACAGCTATCCCTAGTTCCCAATCAGGAGCTGGAGTTGGAAGACGGAGTGGGGAGGCTTGGCCCTCCTTGAGAGAGAGCTGCGTGGAGCTTCAGTGGTTGGTCATTCTGATAGTGATCTTCTCCTTTTTTTGTGGTTATTCTTAGTTAGGATTATCTCCTTTCTCTGTTAGTTTGAGTTACCCAGTGCTACTGCCGGTTTTTCATAATAGTTTTTTTTTTTTGTGAATAAAATCTCAGCTGATGCAGCTGATGAATCAGGGTGGCTGTGGCTCAGGAGGTAGAGTGGGTCCTCCACTAATTAGAAGGTCAGTGGTTCCTTCCTTGACTCCTCCAGGCCGCATGTTGAAGTATCCTTGGGCAAGATACTGAACCCCACATTGCCCCTGATGGCTGTTCCATCAGTGTTTGAGTGTGATGTATGAGTGTGAGTGAATGGGTGAATGTGGCAATAATTGTAAAGCGCTTTGAGTGTTCAGAAAGACTAGGAAAGCACTATACAATTGCAAGGAAAGTTTCAACATCTGGTGGATCCAAGAACTGAGTAACTACCGAGTGTTAGTGTGCTGTTCCTAATAAAGTGATCACTGAGTGTAATATTCATACACAATACAGTTGAGAATCAGCAGAAGAAATTTGAGGTGTAACAAAGAGACAAAATAGAGTTTTTACCTCTGGATTTCCATCCCTCCACCACCAAACAATGAAATGAACGTCATAGAACTTGTAGATGTCCTCGATCCCTGTTCTACTGTCGGGCTCCAGCAGGGACATGTTCATTTGGATGCAGTTTCCACAACCGGCCAGAGACACTTCTGGAGGACCTATTTTGGCTGGTCACAAGAAAAAAAGCACATTATTTTTTAATTTGGGCAAGTTCTGATTCATTAGACATTTCAGTGTGAAAATCTTTGGTCATAGTGATCCAAGAAAAGGTGAATCAAGGGCAACAGGCCTTGCTGTAGATACTAGAAGACGTTTCATGTCTCATCCCAGAGTCTTCTTCAGTTCTGACTGACTGGTAAGGAGACCAGGTATTTAACTTCTGTGGGCTCATTATCAAGGCCCCTGAATGATGTCACTTGTTTCGTTAGTGCTCCATTGTAGGTGAAGAATAAGTGGTGTCATAGACATCCCCCTCTGCTGAGGGATAGTATTTAGGATGATGTTTCAGACAGGGAGGACAGGTGGTTTAAAAAAAAAGTGAAGGTCAGAGGATGAGGTCTACAACACTTATCTCCACCTGCAACACCTTGATAACAAGCCCACGGAAGTTAAATACCTGGTCAGTCAGAACTGAAGAAGACTCTGGGATGAGACATGAAGCGTCTTCCAATTTCTACAGCTAGGTCCTGTTGCCCTCAATTCACCTTTTCTTGGATAACTATGACCTGGTTGACTGTGAGTCCACACAGACATGTCATTCAAGACAACATGCCACTCAGAAGATGCTCATGTTGACATACTGTCTTTGTACGGGGTGAAGCAGATGCTGTGGGACTCTGGAGACAGGGTTTGGTTGTAGGATGCCTGGACACTCAGGTAATACGTCCTGTCATAGCGTAGTTTCAGCTTCAATGATGCTGTTGTTGAGTTCAGAACCTTTCTCTGTTTCTTCCCCCGCAACCTGCACAGTGAGAAACAGAGGTCAAATTTCATGCTTGTAGTAGAGCAATGTGCATGATTTTCAACAAAGAAGAGTTATGAGCCATTACAACACCAGACAGGCCTGTGCTCTCAGAGTAAAGACCCACAAAATAAAGCCATTGCAAACCATTGTATGATACTACCAGAAATGTGACTGGACAACAAGACTGTGCAGTCAATGAGCATTTTCACCTCCAGCAAGTCATTGCACCCACATATAAGGACTTCATTACACAATAAAAAGGTGTAATTTCACCCATTAAAAGCTGCAGTGAGGGAATTTTACAAATAAATAAACATCCATCACATCCAAGCTCACTCAGTGCTGGCTCCGCCTCTCAGCTCTAGGTAAATCCCTATGTAATTTGTGGTGACTTTCCCGCACTACGCACTGTTAGTGATGCATTTTACATCAACCAGCAAGTTTGCCAGAGCAGAAAATGGGAGGAACCATAGCAACGGAGGCGGAGCAGCAACAGCAGTTGGGTGTATGGAGGAGTTTATGGTGGAATCACCTTGGAAGCATCCAAGAACAGTTTCAGATGCTCCAGATAAAAAAGAAACTCAGTGTTCAGAGGAAGGAGTACGGTCTGAACAAGGAAGTGGTGAAGAGATGGACGTGGCTGGTAAAAACTGCAAAAACTTCCACCAGCCAGCTAATGTAGCGGACCACCAGGATCTGTCCGACTGTGACAAACAGAGTCGCACTGGTATTAGAGAGCCTGACAGAGAAGGGACTGGACACGGATGTCTCCTTCCTGCTTTTGGACAGGTTGGCATTTGTGAAATATTTGGAATTATACCTAAATAATGAATTGTTGTGTTGGACCCTTCTCTGTTCAACAGTGCTATGTAATTACTCTGACTGTCAGGAGGGGGAGACAAAAGATCCTCACTGCAGATTTAATATAGACCTCTGTACTGTGTGCACGGTCCCGGACTTGATTCATCTAACCTGCCCAGACCCATGACACTGTGGACCTCTACAGCTTATCTAAAGATACACCTGTTTTATAAGTTATACCACTGTTTTTACATTCAGAAACACCGATCATTCAGATGACTTCCACATCACTGATTTCCAGATTCCTTCATAAACATGTAGTTTGTGTTATTTTACTTTTTCCAATCACAAACAATGTGCCATATTTTACTCCAGAAGTTCATTACTCATAGCAGTTCAGTAGTTTGACTTGTATACGCACATATTCATAAAGACACGACAGACAGACAGATCCAGTGAACATGAAATAAAAATATCTTCAGATCAAATGTTTGAGACCATATTAATTACCTCTTTCCAAACCCCCTTTATCAGTGTTGAGGCTGTATACAGATACTGTTAGCCCACATATGTGCAGATGACAAACATGTATAACTGAGTCTGACTGAGAAGTACAGTAGTAATGTACTCTCAAACAGCCTGAGGCAATGTGTCCAAACAACATTTCTTCTATTGTTCCCAGTTAGGAGAGAGTGTCTGTGGCCTCCTCTTCGTGCTTCTTGTTGAAAACCTCTGAACTGTTCAGAAAGGTGCTAGTGTCGTCACTGCCGCTCATTTTCAAGCAACCAAGCAGATGGGATGGGACTCGTCACCCTGGTAACCAGGACAATTGAGGAGAAGCTTGTTCTGGCTGTTCTTGTTTATGGGATAGAAACAACCACAACAGAGACAGAGCTGTGGGAGTAGATGGACCATACTCTGACTGCTGCTGTCTGATCCTGTCACCAAAACACACACACAGCAAACCTGGTCCCAGCACTTAGATCTTCCTCAGTCCTACCTTCATTCAACATATTGAAGTTTCTGGTTAAACACTCTCCATTAGGAGTAAATGAGCTTCATTCTACTGTAGCTAGCGAAAGGTCTGAGGAGGCTGAGTGAAACCTATGATCTCAGTCCACTCTTACAACAACAATCCTTTTTTTATTTTATAGATGATCTTATAGATCTCCTGACAGCCCCCCTTTAAAAAGCTGCACCTTCACCTGCAGGAACTAGGAACTGATCCCTTGCTGCTGTTTATGGCAATCAGCTGGTGTACTTTCCTATAGGCCACTAGGCCAGGTCTGACACGCCTGTTTGTTTAGGTCTAGATTGAACATCCTCAATATTTGAAATCAGAAAAGGAAAGAAAATATCTAAATAAACCACTGCAGTGGTTATAAACTGTGTAAATTAGGGAACTACGGTTGGCAGTGATGTCCCTCCCCTCTAATCAAGATCTTCATCTGAACGATGCAGTGAGTGAGTCAGTGTTCAGTCAAAGGTTCTCAGTTATAGTCAAAATATGAGTAAACCTGCAAAAGCTGATGTTGTGTCTCTTACAGGAACACAAACAAACTTTAAACTGACATATTATCAAGTAGTTTACATGGTGAAGTTGGCAGCACACAGTTGCTAAATCATAGTCACTACCTCTGTCAGTCTGCTGTTGGTGCTGAGCAAGTAGAGCATAACAGCAGCTCACACATGTAGTTTAATTTTTAAACGGAGTCCTAAAACAGCAGCACCTGGAGTTTTCAGCAAATGTAACTCAAACTGGAGGATATAGAGCATTTGACTATTTTTAGCAGAAAATTAATCCACATCTGCTGTCACCTGGTGCAACAGTGAAGCTTTGTGGCTCAGAGGAGTAAGACCAGACTTAGACACACACATTACTTGTTAGTGGATCTGCACATATTATCAAACTGCTCCTTCATGATTCACTCAGACAGTGAAGATGTGACCAACACTTTAGAAACATTATCATATTATTGTTTCAAGTCAAATCCAGTCATGAAATAAGTAGTGTGTATTCATTTCTGTCAGTGTAGGCAGTGTGATTAATGAGTTGTGAAACTTCACAATGACAAAACAAAGACTGGATCATGTGGAACTGAAAGTCAAATAAGAGCATCCCAATCCCTGGTTCCTCTAAAAGCATCAGCCGGCCTCTCTGTGGTCACAGCTGCATCAAACACACACTGGATGGAAACAAACACGACGCCTCAGCCACAGTCAGATCTTCCATCAAAGCAGGCTCTCAGGTCAACCACAGATTATTACACAGACCCAGTTCTGACTGTGAATGTGAACAAATCAAAGGATGCTGTTGATCCTGGGGTTCAGACAGGCTGATAAGATCATGTGAATTCGCACTGATGTAAATCAAATATATTCATTTTACATGTTTGTTTATATAGGAAAAATATCCAGATAGATCTTTGTAAACTTAAGTGTGTAACTGCACAGGTGTGATATCCAGTGGACTGCAGAGTAACACCAAGGATAAGAAGTTAAAATGAGATGAGGTTTAGCTTTTACTTAATTAAAGGAACATTCAGCATTTTTCTACATGACTACATGAAATGGGGCAGGAATAGCCTGTAATCCTCCACAAGTATAGAACAAAAACTATCTGTACTCATGGTCGACTTACTCATTGTTCTAGAGCTATAGACCATATCACAGGGTCTTCATCAGCAGATTAAGTTTGCTCAGTTGATCTAAACTGTCCATTATTGGGAACTCTCTGTGGTCAGCTGCTGTGTCTGTGTCAGGCTCCTCTTTGGTGACATAACTCCTTCATCAGGTCTATCTACTGAGACACAGTGAAGCTCTGAGAGCAACACAACGTTACAACATCAAACATGAGAAGAGCATCACACAGGCTGTGAAGAGGACGACAGGTCAGACGGATTAGCTTCAGCTGAAAACAGTGAAAGTGAGCTCATCTGACCTACTGCTACTTCTGTCACTGCACAGGAAATGGTTAGAGATGAAACAGGAAGTTGCTCTTGAAACTGTTTATAATATAGCCTGGGTGATGACTCTGTGCTTTGAATTAATTTCATTTAAAGTTCATCACTCTACATGTGAAGGTTTGGTTAATTATCATTCATGCTCCCTGAGAGGACCGGCTCATTACATAACCTGTAGTTAACAAACACCTTACAGAAATAATGAGCAGGTTGTATTGACCTCCTCTCATCCTATATATTATGTTGGTTTATTTTCATCTTTCATGTTTTTGTGGTTGATTTATTCTTTTTTAACCTTATTTATCTCAAGGGACAAAGAGTGAGTTCATTTATTGTGATGGTTTATTTCTTATTGTCATCTGTGCTTTGCCAAAATAACTCTGTCTGAAAATGACAATAGAGATATTGTTTAATAAAAAAATAGTTTTCTAATGTTAAATGTCAAAATACAAGAACTCTGCCTGAATAAAATAAAGTAAAAAACATCAGTTAAATTTAATATTATTCTCTATTCCTTTAGACCATAAATTCTGTATTAGACAGTTTGTATGTTGGGTGCTTAGAAATGTACAGAATGTACAGACTCCACAGACTGACGGAACAGAGAGAAAATGGCATCAGGCTCAAGAGTTCTGGTAGAAAGTGAGACAGATAACAAGATGGTGGAGAGGGAAAGTACCTCTGGAAGATATTGTACTCTGTTCCTGGTTTGGTGCCTGGTGCAGGGTCCCAGCGCAGTACATGGTGGAAGTTGACAGAGTCGACAGTCACATTGACTGGAGCACCAAGGGAACCGAGCACTGTGTGAGCAACAAGGTAACAGGTCATCAGTGCAAAGGTACAAAGACACACCTGGCAGGGCAGTCGCAGCAGTGAGTGGTGGGTGTGTTCAGGAGAATGGTATCTGAGCTATTCAACTGCCCAATAAACATTGAACCTGTTCACTCACCAGAGTCAAGCAGCGACATCAGGAACAGACCCAGGGGGAAACAGTTCATCTTGTCACAGTGACACAGCTCCAGGTTCAGTCTGTTCACTGTCTGCAAACAGAGAGCAGTGATGTCCACTGTGAATTTTATTTAAATAATAAAAAAAATATTAATAATTGTATCAAATTCCTACGTGTTGTGTTAAACTGTTGTACCTGATCACTAAATGTATCAGACATGTAGAGTTAGAGTACAGAGGTCAGTGTCCTGAGCTCACTGTCAGCAGGTTTACAGTCAGTCAGCCTGTTGCTCCCTGACAGGACGTTTGTTACTTTCTAACTCAGACTCAGGTTTTATCAGAAACATGAACAAACGTCCTTCAACATGATGTCAACAGTTCATGGACTCACCGACTCTCACAGCCCGCGACAGTCGCTCCAGTATCCGGGAAACAAAACCGAAATACTGTTTTCAGTATTTCGGTTTTCAGTGGCTCGAAGTTAGAGACGACTGTTGATCTGTCAACAGTCGGGATAACAATGTGACGTTACAGCACACGCAATATACCGCTACTTCCTGTGTCACCTTCAAAGTAAAAGTCTTACTGTCGAACAGATTTTAATAGTGTCAGAGTGAAGTACAGGAGAAATTTATAGTAGTATGCCTTGGTTTATCTCAGTTATGAACTCATTCATGTACAGTCTTTGAGTGCTCTCGCTATGATTCAATAGCTTCCCTGATGGACCACTTTTAGTGATTGTAATTATCTGTAAATTTGCTCCCATTCATGTCTGTGTTGAACAGGACAAAAACAGTAACTATGGGGCTGAATTACATGCATTATCAAATCATACTGCAATTATTTTTGGCAGATATTGCAATATGAGTCATGATTTCATTTAATTTTCACAGAAAAAAATAAAACATTTATGATTTTTGTTGGGTATTGTAGCAAACAACCAAAAGTTCCTTTATGTCTGGAGAATATAATTTGTAGGCTGGACTCTCAGACTCTCACATTTTCAAAAGTTTCCTGGGTGACAGGCGCCGGGCGGTTATGGGGATACTGACAAGCCCCCGGTTGAGCTCCACTGTGTTGGAGTTCTCGCCGGGGAAGCAAGAGGGTCACCTCTATGCAACTGCGGGTCCCTAGGGGTAAGGCTCTGACTGTTGTGTGTGCTTATGCACCGAACAGCAGCTCGGGGTATCAGGCCTTTTTGGGGGCTCTGGCCGGTGTCCTATAAAGAGTTCCACCTGGGGACTCTATAGTTCTGCATGAGGACTTCAACAGTCATGTGGGCAACGATGGAGAATCATGGATTGGCGTCATTGGGAGGAACAGCCTCCCTGATCTGAACCTGAGTGGTGCTTTGTTATTGAGCTTCTGTGCTAGTCATAGTTTGGTACCTCATGAATGTACTTACCAGAGCACCTTGGGCCAAAGATTGATGATCGACTTTATGGTCATATTGTCAGATCTGTATCAACATATGTCTTGGACACTTGGCTGAAGAGAGTGGCAAAGCTGTCAACTGATCACCACCTGGTGGTGAATTGGATCAGATGGTGAGGGAAGGCTGCTGGACAGACCAGGCAAACCCAAACATGTAGTGAGGGTGAACTGGGCCATGTTCAAAGCCTCCATTGCAGAGGCAGGTAGGTAGGGGCTGTGTTCTGAAGATCGTCGGTCTGTCGAGGCGACCAGCAGTGAAGGAAGCCTTCAAGCTGAGGAAGGAAGCCTTTTGGGCTTGATTGACCCAGGGGTCTCTGAAACAACAGGCAGTGTGGGTGGAGCTCCAGGAGGCTATAGGATGACTTTAATGGAAGTTCTCAAGGAAGTTCTGGCAAACCATTCAGCAGCTCAGGAAGGGGAAACAGGGTACATGATGCTGTTAATATAAGTCAGTGATAGAAAGTGAAGTTCATTTCCTCAGGTTCTGTACTGTAGTACAGATCTGAGGTGTTTTAGTTTATTCTTTTATCCTCTACATTTCAGAGAGAGTGTTGTACTTTTACGTAAGAACCTGTTTAACTGCAAATATGATGGTCACACTAAGAATATCCAACAGTACAATAAGTAGTTAACATGAGCTCCACTACCACCTGCTTCTACATTACAATGCTACTAGCTTAAATTCATCAGTAATAAAATTCCACAATTATGAGATTATAATAAAAAGTCATTCTGACAGGACTGTGATGCCCAGTGTGGTGCTTTCATTACGTTTTGATAGTTATACTTTAGAATGTGGATGTGAGACTGTAGACAGAGAGGCACAGAGCTGCTGCTTTAACCTCAGTTAAAGATCTGACTTCTTCTTCACCTCAGTCATTAATGATAGACTCATGTCTTACCTGCTCTAACACAAGGTCTCTCTCTGTTTACACTATTCTGAAGACAGTCATTCACTTCCTGTCAGTGGGCAGTTACCAAACCTCACTGACTGCTCTGACTGCTCAGTGGTAGACAGGCCACTAGAGGGCAGTCTTGAGACAGCTTTCTGTGACATTATATAAGCTGTAACATGACTCAGTGCCAATGAGAAATTAAGTCCCTGGAACATGTCTGCAGTGGTCCTGAGATACCAACACAGATACAGATCTGTGATAGTAAGTTTTACTGATTCAATTCACTGTGAGTAGTTAAAAATCTATCATTCTAAAAATCAATGTCATCAAAACTGTTGCTCATGTTAATGTGTTTGACACTTTGTATATCAGAAAACATTTTTGAAACATAACTCATAATACATGACACTGTTGTGTCATGTATTATGTATTATTGAAACATAACTCATAATACATGACACAACAGTGTCATGTATTATGAGTTATGTTTCAAAAATGTTTTGGATGCAGCCTCACATTACAGACATTGAGTGGAAGCAAATGCACTGATGCTCTTCACACAAACTGATTTGAACACGCTGAGTTTTATCAATCTTATCTTCCTGAGTGCACTGGAGGTGTCTGACACACACACAGGTGAGTACGGATGAAGCTGTGATATCTGATATTGTCACCACGTGTCCAGGCTGAGCTGCTGATTCCTTTACTGTTGTTATTTAACATCAGGTCCAGCTGGTCGTCCTGTGGTGGGACACATTACAGTGTGCCATCTCACACAGTGGGGTTTCCTATTTAAAAACTTGGATTAATGTGGCTGTGGACAGAAGTTCACTGATGAAACACCATCCCTCAGTAGACAGAGGTCAGTCCTGCTCACTACAGTGCTCTGCTCAGTGACAGCTCTTCTCATCAGTCTAACAGTGTGGAAGTTAACTGATACATCTCCTCAGAGATGCACTTGAGTGCAGTGCCTAGCTACTAGAGTATTTCCATTTTATTCTACTTTATACTTTTACACCACCTCATTTATCTGACAGCTGTCGCTACTGGTTAATTTTATACATTAGAAACATAAGCTCGTTGGGAACCACTGAATTAAACTACTAAACTGTTTAGCTCCACTTTATGACAGTATATTAGGCTCAATGAAGGTCAAAAAAATGATGGAGCTGGGGGCAGGGGGAAATATTCTGAGAAACTAGAATCACCTCCTTGTGGTTATCTGCCTCCTCCACTCAGACTAGTTTCAGATTACATTCCTTTTTATCCAGAGTCACAGAATATATGAACCATGTGTGTGAAATGTTGTCATAATTGCTGTGAAGTCTTGAGTTATGGCTAAAAAGTGTTTTGTGAGGTCACACTGACCTTGACCTTTGACCTTTGACCACCAAAATCTAATCAATTCATCCTTGAGTCCAGGAGAATGTTTGTTCCAAATTTGAAGATTTTACTTCACAGCAGTCATCAAAAAAGAAAAACATGCATTCAGAGCCACTCCGATGAGCAAAGTCATTTTCAGATATATGGTGCTGAAGGAGATGAGCTGCTGAGACAGTTTGTTGTAGATGCACCTGCTCACAGAAAATACTGTAGTCATCAAATTCTGTAGGAGCCAAGTGGTTTTCTCTACTGGCTGATGAGATGGCTGTTGTCAGTAGCGTTGCCCTTGTAGTTGGGTATGTGGACTATTCTGGCAGCTCCTCATTTTTTCCTACAGCTGACACTGCAGACGAGACCTTAACCCAGTTTTTGCTGAACAGCTCAGTCAGAGAGAGATCTCGTAACAACAGATTCTGACCTTGTCGCAAGATTTCAAGAAAGGCTCCCTAGATTTGAGCACCATCTTCAACATCAGATGGTAATATTCAGCCTACAGGCAGATCAGGGAGAACCTTACATTTACCTGGAGACTCTCACCTCATGTAAAAAATATTTAATCAAAACACAACCACAAAACCACTTTTTAAATCTTTTTATTCTCTCACTGTACAGAGGGAGAAGGTCTGTGGACCAAAGACTAATCCACGTCGTCATGAGAGACAAATCAGCTCCAGGAATTTGCTTAAATAAGCCAAAGTATATACAAATCAAACACAAGCTCTGTCTGAACACACACTGTTCTTTAACCTTGAGTCGCTGCGCTTGTCAAAGGTTGTAAAAATGCAGATCTGCAATGTAAGACACACACCTGTGGGTTACACACAATCTTAACAATCTGAATAATTACACTCCCTGATGAAAGTACATAAGGTGCTGAGATGCAGAGAAGAGAAGAGAAGAGAAGAGAAGAGAAGAGAAGAGAAGAGAAGAGAAGAGAAGAGAAGAGAAAGAGAGGAGATTTAACAGAGTCTTTGACAGGATATGAACTGGAACCAGAAAGAGGAAGACAACATGAAAGCAGAAGAAGCTGTGACTTCTTTTTCACTTCCTTCAAACTGTCCAAATCTTGTCTTGGTTAAAGAGACTGAAAAACAACCAGAAGAAGAAATCTCTCTCTCTCTCTCTCTTCCCCTCTCTCTCTCTCTCTCCCTCTCTCTCTCTCTCTCTCTCTCTCTCTCTCTGTCTCCCTCCTCCATGAATGTTGCCAACTTGGCCTGAGGCTGGTTAATAACTGCAGAACTTGTCCCGCTCCAGAGACTCAGAGTCCTTGTTTTGATCCAAACACACTGAGGTCTGTTGGATCTGGGCTCTGGGACTCTTGTTCACTGGGCGTCCATTTTAACCTGTTTCAAAACAACTTGTTTTATTAGGCCATCTGCACTCAATAAGAGCAGCTGGAAAAACGCAGCCTTCATAACAGGGAGCCCACTGCGCCTCCTCATTGCCGATATACTGTCTTCTGTCTGTTTGTCCTTTCACTATAATTTACTTTATTAAACAATTTCAACCTCTGTCCCAGACAACAACAGTGTGGTCCAGCTCTGACCCCCCTTGGATTCTCTGGACTGGGTCCAGTCATTGTTTGCTGCAGTCAGCTGCCACAGGACATCTTGTTTTCCCATGATGCTCCTTTGACACTGAAGCATGTGGTGTTAGAATAATCTGAAAAATTAGTTTCCAAATGGGAAAATTTGTCCTTGTCCTCTTCCCCACAGAACCACTAAGACTGTACTGAGCCTATACAGAGCATGAGCAGGTACACACTGAGCACATGTTTCAACAGAGCCACAGATGCATAAACATAGTTCAGAAATCTTAAACATAAGATTTCTGGGGGGGGGGGGGATTTGTGATAATATGATTTAACACACATTTATATAAAGATATGCAGCATTTAATCATCATGGCAACTGAGAAATTAAAGGTATAAAATCTAAGTTTTGACCCCGGGCCCCTCTGAGTCCTCAAGAACACAGGAGCCACATCAGGCCCTGCGTCATCTCAGTGCTGAATTGTGTTGCAGTGCTGATTCTTATCAAAGAAATGTGGATTTAATCAGATTACCACTTTATCTCGGTGGTCATCCAGCCTCATGAAAATCACCGCAATCTCTCTGTGTTGTTGTAGCAGTCACATATTCTCCTCTTCACTAAGAACAGACAGGTCTCGTCCTTTTCTTTAAGTAATAAGAAAACAACCAGTTCACATTAGTAAAGTCGACACTACAGGGCCCCAAATATTGAAGTGTGTTCTGGTTTGACCAGAATCTGTGACTGACTGACAGAACTACTACAGTTCACTACTGACTGTTTAATTGTCATGCTCTTTCCAAAGATGGGTGACAAAGTCAAAAACTACACAAAGTGTCTCAGAAAGACGTTCATCACACAACAACTTCAGTTGGAGCATGGAGTCTGTGATCAAGGTATGTCAGATGCTCTGGAGTCCAGGTCTGCTCACTGTTTTGGTGTCACACTGCTGGAACCCACCTTTTTTTGGAATTAGATGTGGTTTTGGGCCGGGGATCTGACTGTTGGTTAATGCTGTGACTACCTTTGTCCCCTGTCTCTATGGTGGATCAGCAGACTCTATGGTGGATCAGCAGACTCTATGGTGGACCAGCAGACTCTATGGTAGACCAGCAGACTCTATGGTGGACCAGCAGACTCTATGGTGGACCAGCAGATATGTGAGGTAAGTGGTCTGGGGTAATGGGTGAGCCCTTAAAGACTCTGGCTACATGTTGTCGTAACCTAGCTATGACAAGGGATGTTGCTGCTGCTCTCCTCTGAGCTGAACCCTGTCCTGATGTTAAGATGGGGTTAGGATTCTAGTGTCCACATGGATACTCCAAGTCACAGCCTCCTCACTAACGCCCCTGCTGATGTACCGATATGACATACAGTATCTGAACGACAGGAAATGTTTTCAGGCCAGATGTGGACACACAGTGATGTTACCATGGTAACCATCTACCCCTCCAACATCAGAGCTCTGAACCATGTCAACATGTCGTCTTATATTTTAACACTGACATGTTTTACCAACATTTACAACTGTGTAAAACTCCTGATCACCCTACCTCGACCTGTTACCTGTCCTGGTCACTCATCAGTCAGCTGAGCTAACAAAGCTAAACTGTGCTGATCAGCTGACCCTGACACTGAAGCGTCACAGAAGCAGAATGTGATAGAACCCAAGTGTTCTGGGTTCTACACAGATCAGAGGATCTGTGTTCTGCTGCTGGACCCTCACCAGAGTAGACTGATGAGACAGATATATATGACAGAATGTGGATCCAGGTCTCAGTCTTGGAACTGGAGCCACAATATCAAATCCCCAGTCGCACCACGATCTCGAGACAGGAATATACACAGACTCTGACCAGATCACGTCTGTGTGCAATTCAAATGAATGACCTGTTTGTTTGAAGTGATCTATGACCTATGACCTATGAACTGTGAAGCTTCTTTATAGCGGGGGTGTTAATAAACTGAATTATTTGTAGTAGGTGATCAGAGTGTCTACGAGCCTGTAACACACTGACCTGTATATAGACATTAAGGCTATGAGATAATATTAATGGATGTAAACAGTTAAGCCTGTGTACACACCACAGACTGCAGCTGGTCTGAGCAGGACCCAGTCTTGGGTCGGTGTGGGTTATGGCTGTAGAGATATGTCAGCAGGGATGAAAACAGCAGTCCAAATGAAATCAGCGTCTCTTTGAAGAAAAAGCATCTGGAGACAGTTCAGACTAACATTCACACAAACTGTGATCTACTCCACAGAGAATGTGTCAGATGAGACGTGTCAGGGTAAAAACCTTCAGCTGTGTTGTATATGATCCCTGTGCACCAGCTGTCTCTCCTGCTACAGACCTGACTATGCTCCAGTGAGAACTTGTTGTCAGTAGACAAATGTGACGAGCAGTTTTTGCAGAGGCTCTGCAGCCTGATCTCCAGGGTGCACAGGGTCCACAGGGTCCACAGGGTCTACAGGGTCCACAGGGTCCCCAAGAGTGAGGGGACTGGCCAGGAGGGGGAAATGCTGGGAGAGGGTGGGAGCAGGTGGTCCCACAACACTGTACGCCTTCAGGGCAGAGCGTCCATTGAGCACGGCCACATCCAGGATGGTCAGGTGGAAGGAGGAGGAGAGGTCAAAGGACAGGGCCTCAAGCTCCACTGCAGCCCCCCCTGCAGGGAGGAGTGTGATTTCCTGGTTGCGATACGGAGCTTCTGCTGCTGCACTGTGGATCCTGAGGGTCTGCAGACCCAGCAGAGCAAGGTACTGACTGTGCATTGGTTTTATTCCACAGAAAGACAAGTGTAAATGGCCAACCATGCTTCTGTTCAGCAGCTCCTCCAGGACCCAGAGTTCCTTCACCCAGACAGTAAGCTGTCCAGGATCTCTGAGCCCAGCGAGGGGCAGAGCCGAGCGCAGGACAGTGTGACACCTGCACAGAGAGTTGGCCAGGGCTTCATCACAGTCCAGCACAGGTGCAGAGCAGCTGCAGTTCCTCAAGCTGTAGCCTGGGGCGCCACTGTCGAACAACAATGTGGTATTGAAAGACCGAGACGTGTCAGGTGTGGGGGCAGAGTCTGTCGTCCCGGTGATGGGGGTCAGGAGAAACAGCAACCACAAGGAGCGTAGCAACAAGGCAGAGGAAGCTGTGTCTGGAGACATCTCCATGGAGATCAAACAGACTACATCTTCACCAGGTGGAGAGAGGAGACAGGTGGATGAAGCTGTGAACACACAGGTGAGGTGAAGTTACCATGGGTACAGACAGGTGTATGAAGTGATAAGTCACAAGAGAAGAGAACAGACTTTGATTCCAACCCTGAGCAGCAACAGATTCTCTCAGCGCTCTGAGTCCAGAACCTTCTCTCCGTGTCCTACAGTAACCTCTGCAGTTACAACAGCCAGCTGAATTTAGCTTTTATTTCCAGTCTACACACACACATATACACACACACACACACACACATACACACATACACGCTGGCGTACAGCTGCTGTGGCCACATTAAATGAAACACTGGTCTCTTTATTTCCTCATCCAGAGGAGACGTGGCTCAGTGAACCACATCTACAAAAGGGGGGGGGGGGGGGGGGGGTTACACATTTGGTACCAAACACACAGTGTGAGTGATTGCTGCAGTCAGACTGTCTCTATCCAGGTGGCAGGTGATGTAATTCAGTCAGATGATCCACCACAGACATACAGTGGATCTGATCTGATCTCCTGATCAGCAGGACCCCCCCCCCCCCCCCCCCCTCCCCCTCTCAGCCTGTTTACCAGTCACATGTTATTTATAGAAATGTTCCTGACTTCACTCCAGATGTGCATGTGAGATCTTTTCCCAGACTGTGATGGAAACAGCAGATGACTCAGTGGAAAACCAACCAGTGGAGGATCGAAGTAAACCAGATCCACAATTTCAACCCAACACAGTGAATACACACAGCTGCTGCAGCATTAATTACACAACAGCATCATCTGAAAACTCACAATACATTCATTCAAGACATTTGTACATTAGTACAATATACTATACACCCTCCAGTACATTGAGGGGTGTCACTGCTCCACCCTGACTTGGTCTGGACCAGTAGACTAAGTTGGGTCCAGTGTTGTTCAGGAGGTTTTAGAGTCTCTCCACAACAGACCAGGGGATTAAAACCAGTAACATTTATTCAGATGGTTTCTCTGATGACTGAAGATCCTTCATGTGGTTAAAATATATATTTAAAGATCCTCTGATGAAAATCCAGTGTTTAACCTTGTTAACATCCATATGAGGTTTTTATATAATACAAGACATATGATGAGAGAAAAGTTCATCAACACCATGACTGAGTGTTTCCACCTTGAACTGGAGTGAACCAATGACAGTCTCATAAAAACAGATTCAGACAGCCAGGGTTTCATACGTGACAAACCTAAGGAACCAATCCTGTCAACTTGTGGGGACGGGGGGCGGGGCTAAATAAACCTGAAACCTTGTCAGTACAGAGAGAGAGTTAGCATTAGCACAGCTGCTAACACTGTGTCAGCCACTGCCAGTTTCAAGCTAACAAACAACATAAACAAATAAAAGATGCTAACTATGCTAACCATTCTGATACGTCTGCTAGTCTCTGGTTCTGGTCTCAACAGACTCCTCATCTGAGTCTGGGTCTGACTGAGGCTCAAACATGTGGCTGAGTCTCTCTGATGTTTCCTCCTCTAACCATCTTGATACTCTCTGCTCTTTCACCTGTCCACCTGGAGCAAGCAGGTGGTGGGCGGGGCTAAAGGCCTGATCCAGGTTTCTCAATCAGGAAGTAAGAGATGAGCTTCAGACCCAGTTTTTATACATGAAAACCATGTTAAACTAAATATGAATCATAGCAGAGGATTTTTATAGAGTTTAACACGTCTGAGAGAAACTTTAAAAACCACCGAGAGTGTATATTAAAAATGTAAAAAAAAAAAAAAAAAGATATATATATATATATAAAACTGGATAAAAGTCAGTGTTGGGCGTCTGTCAGACAAACACACTGACACATGATCATAGAGGATATGATGTCATTGAAAGAAACAAAGTATTACCATGATTGAAATCACAGATTTCTCTGGTTTGAGAATTGATGGAAACATTTGTGATAATGTAAGAACACAACTCAACAACATGTAGAACATAGGTCTAGCTGTTTTTAGACATTTTAATGAGGAAAAGTCAGATTATAACTTGTGGGGGGGGTGCTGTTACTGGCTTTAGCTACATGTGTGATTGACTATCTCTACGTGTTGGAGGAGGGTATGCTAATGCTAATGTCAGTGAAAATCTTCAGTATTGAAGGTGGAACATTTTGATACACATGTTATATCACCAGGCTCCATGGAGTCATTTTAACACTGTTGAAGCTTCTTCAGGGTTAAACTGATTTAGAATTAAAGTCTCATTTCTGGGATCATGACTAAGCTGCTATAAATACATGTGACTTCACTGTGGTTGGTTTACAGTAGCAGCTGCCCTCCACACACAGCCTGTCTCTCCATCCTCTGTCTTACCTCACTGCTAATGTTAGTCACTGTCAGTCCAGCTGTTTCAGCATCTGGCTCTCCCACACATTAGTCACTCTCTCTTTCTTTCCATCTGTCTGTCCACTCCCTTTTCATTTCCCTTCCTTTCCTCTTCTTCTCCCCTGTCCTCCATCTCTGTAATCCCTGCAACAGGCTCCAGCTGCAGGACCGGATGCTGAACGAAGATGAAAATTCACCACTGAAAACACATTCTCTGATACTCAGATGACAGTGTGGGGTTGATATCATTGATTCTGTGTGTAGATATTTGAATTATATTTACTTAAAGCATTTTTCTACAGTAAACACAATGGAAATGTACCACAGAATAAAAATGGTTTTTAGTGTTTTGTTTGTGAGTGTTGTGTGTGAGGTGTCTGCTGCTCCGCACAGCTCCAGCTCATTAAAGGAGAGGCTCGACACATTCCTCTGACATCATGCTCCACTAAAGGCACCCACCCTAAACTTCCCTTCCTCTCTCCACCTCCCTCAATTACAGCCCCTCTCGTCCCTCCCTCTCTCTCAGCAGCTGCAACTCCACACACAACTGCACAGACTAAACTCCAGAAACTTCTGAGATACAGAACCTACTGCAGATCCCTTTCTTAAATCTGCAATAATACATTTAATGCATTTTTTGGCCAATTAGGGGAAAACAAACAAGTTATGAACTCAATATTAACATAGTATTATCATCTTTTAAGTTGATCTGGCAAAGAGTTGCTTGTCTACACATCCAGAAGATATTATCATTAATTCAGTTGTAATTCTGTAACATATAATGAATCTCAGTCCAGTGCGCCATCTCTTTTAGCTCTGTGTTTGGTCTCCACCAGCTCCTGAGGGAAATATCTGAATCTTACGATGTTATTGTAAAAACTGTTGATTATTGCAACTTTAAAAATTTAGTGTTTGTTTTAAACCTGCGTCACAGAAACATCCCTGCAGACACACAGCTGTGTCAATGTCAGATCAACGTCTAACACCAACATTGATCTGACGTAAAACGCTGACAACAGCTAACGACAATGACAACCATGTTGTGGTTGTAAAGTAACTCACAGATGTCTGATGTCAACATCATTATGACAAATAAAATCCAACATCTACTGAACGTCACGTCTGTCCTATCTTAGCATCGTTAGCATCTTTCTGACATTTCATTGACGACTGGTGTCTGCAGGGATGATTTAACTTTTAAAGGGCACTCTAGCTTTAGCTAATGCTACTCCAACAGGAGGAAATATTGCCTTTGTTACTATTTAATTAATACACATCTAGTGCTCTGGTGGGTATCAGTGAGTTTTGGTAGCACCAGGACAGTGATAGAGGAATGTGATACACCGCCACCACCACCAACTTGTTTAACTTCAGGAAACATCATATCACAACAAACATAATTTCATTGTCTTGGTTACAGTAATAACCACCTGTTAGGTTAGAGGAGCTTCATCATCATGGTTACTACAATAAACCCTGTTAGGTAAGGGGAGCTTTATCGTCATGGTTACACCTCTATCTGTATTGGCGTCACTCACAGGTCAGTGAGTTATATTGTCATTCACTATGAGCCTTTTATATTCTGAACGTGTTATAGAACTTGTTTTATTGAGCCACAGATGATTTGTATCCAGGTGGACAGAGTAGCAATCATAAGAACATCACAGTGCTGTTAAATAACCAGAGGGTTGTGCACACTGGTGCTGAAGAGCTAATGTGCCTTGTGAAACATGTTTTTACTTTGGGTGAACTGACCGTTAAAGTAAAATAAAAACATCAGTAAAATGAGTGGATGGTGATGTTCCAGGCAATGGATTAACAGTTCATTTTCCCATCAGGCAGTTGGAACAGAATGAGGTTTTCAGATGACATCACGTCTCAGCCGTCTGAAGGTTTTTCTGTCATTTCAGCAATCCCACGTTTCTCATTATGAACTAAATCTATAGCTGCTTTGAAACATCACAACATGAAGTCTTTATTTACATGAGGAGAGTGTGAGAAACCAGCAGCATGTGTCCTGTACATGTAGCAGAAAACATGCCTGTCGGACAGCACATGTACATGAGAGTGCAGTGTACTTACGAGGACGGCTCAATGCTGCTCACGGTGGCATGCTGCTGCCATCTGGGTCCAGGCAGGTCGCTCCAGGTTTCTTGAGTGATGAGAGCAGCAGCAGCGTCCACATCTGTCTGCAGGTCGTCTGGAAAACCTCTGTTGGTCTGGAAGCAGAGAGATGGTCAGGATGGAAAGAGAGAGGGAGGGACAGAGGGGGGAGGGAGAGAAACAGAGAGCTCTTACTTCCTGGACTCTGGGTAGACAAACTTCTCTTCAGAAGTGACAGCATGGCAGAGTCAGACGCTATGTCCATTTTCCTCTCATCTTTTTTCCCATTCCCTGTCTCCTCAGCCACACTCTCCTCCTACTTTGGGACCCTCCTCTCATCTTAAAGCCAGTAAACCCCCCCCCCGCACACTCAGTCTTGCTGTGTATACCTCCATCTTGTGGCTTGAAGTATTACTACACCACTAATCATTCTGCCAACACAAGCTGAACTGGAGCTGTAGCAGGTCTGTGTGCTTGCTGGGAGCTGTGTGTGAAGTGATGATGTTTGGACACACATCACACAGGGACTCTGTGAGCCAGATCTTAGTTTCCCAGGGTCTTTGATTCACAGCCATTCATGCTCAGTAACCATCTAGATTACTGTAACTCACTATTTACCCCAGAAATCCATCAACAGCCTCCAACACAGACCACAAAGATTGTCCTGTAGTGCTTTGAGTTCTCAGGGCCACCATACGTTTCCCTCTATGCACCATTTAGTGTACAGTAGAGGTGAACTGATGAAGACAGCCGGCCTAACATGACCTCAGCTGACCTCACGGTCCTGACATGGGCATAACATGAACAAGAAAAGAACATATCCAATAAGGTTTACAGCTTTGAATGTGTGTGTGTGTGTGTGCGTGTGCGTGTGTGTGTGTGTGAGTTCCCTTCTTATCAGAGCAGGATGCTACTGTCTGTTTCAGACAGGGTTTGGGGGTTAAGGTAAGAGTCTGAGCTTAACCACTGGTTCATATCTGCACAGAAACAGCTGTTGTTGGTAGAAACACAGATCCCCAAAGAGAGGGAGAGCACAGCAGATGGAAACGCTGGCTCTTGTTTTTCTGAGGCAGTGAGATCACTTCCTGTTGAGTTCCCACATTGGCAAGGATAGACAAGGTGGCAGCCAGGGTTGGAGCTGCTACACCAGAGCGCCCAGTATTTCCAGAACTACGATGCTGGGTGGAGGCACAGGGTGCAGCTGGTGCATCATACTCAGACATTCACATAATGTAAGTCAGACTGTTACTGGTTCTGTAGAGAACAGAGTGAGGCAAGTTTATTTATTTAGCACATTTCATACACATATGAAATTCAAAGTGTTTTACACAATAAAAAAAGCAGAGCATAGAATAATAAATAATAATAAAAAGATTAATAAGTATATATTCATCAAAAAGAATAAAAACAATAACATTCAACACAGTGGGTTTAATAATATAAGACTGCAGCAGCAGTTAAATCAGAGGTGAACATGCAAGACTCTAACCTGTTTTTAGTCAGAGTCAGCCTAAGCTAAGCTCTGACAGACAATAGTGTTTCTTTACATAAATGTATATTTTAACTGGACTACGAGGATATTCATTAAATCTAATTAAACCACTAAGAACACAACAACTAGTCACCACAGAGATCTTAGCTTTAACAAGTATACACAGTCTGTTGACTGGACGATAATCAACACTTAGCATAATGCTAACAACACATGAAAAGCATGAGGCTAACATCTTAAACATAACACATAAAACCACAGTAACCTGTGGTTATTACACCTGGGTCTGTGCATGGATGAAGCAATGAACAATGAAGCATATTGTGTCAGCGGGATGGTGGGTTAGCTTTAGTTATAGCCTATCTGTTTCACATTGTTTCCAGTCTATGCAAAGCTAAGCTAACTGGCTGCTGGCAGTGACTTCATATGAAACTGGTATCAATCTAATGGTCAGCTCTCTGTACAACCTGGTACCTAGCTCTCAGTCCGGACCACTCTGCTGAAGAATGATGACGTTGCAATGATGTTCGTAATGCTTATTCCCATTCAGGCAGCAAACACAATTCCCGGCCAATCAACACTTTTATGCCGTTATCCTGAGCTTATCTAGACACTTTTGCTGACTACCTGTAGGTTCTCCAGCTGCACAGTATACGGTGCAGTCTGACTCAACGACATACACATGGGAGAGCTCTACTTCCCAAAACACCTCAATCACTATGTCACACACAGGTTACCCACAAGGCCCCCGCCCTGAAAGGGGAGGGTTTGGCCGGTAATCTATTTATATTGTAACCATGACAACTAGGATTATAATGTTGAGGAAGCACTTATTTTAACCCAAAGAATGATCTTTTCCTAAAGCTAACCAAGTAGTTTTAGTGCCTAAGCCTAACCAAGCCATGACCATTATTATAGTAACCATGGTGACAAAGGTAGGTACACCGTTCTCGTACAATCGCATGTTTATTATGGTAATCATGACAACCAAGGTCTGGTAAGCATGCTGCCATAGGAGCACTATTTCAGGACACACTCCTTTGGGTCTTATCAGAGGGTTGAAAAAAAATGACCTGTGTGGTTTTTCAGGTTGGAGGAGTGGTTGTGTTTCTGACTCTAAAACTTGGACAAAATGTCCAATCTGAGTTCTTGCCGATAATTAAATGTGTGCCACAGGGCTTTGTTTATATTTACATTAATAACATACCTCATCCTTAACTTTCTGTCATGTCCATCTATATGCAGATGACACTATTTTATATTGTTTTGTAGATTCAGTTCAATCAGCTGTTATAACTCTGCAAACTTCCTTTAATACTCTGCATGCTGTACTGTCTACTGTACATAGACTGATTCAGAATGGAGGAAGTTCTACAATGTAAATATGCAGCATGATGAAAGGCTTAAAGTTAAATGTCATAGGGACAAGTATGTGAACTGCTTTCCTGTACAGAGATAGATTCATCTGTAGAAAGAGCATCACTGAAGATGTTTTCCTGTCAGTGTTACATTATTTTGATGTGATTTATGCAGCTCTTTCTGTCCTCATACCTCTGGACTCAGTGTGTCATTCTGAACTCTGTTTAATTACTGGTGATGTTTATGGTTCTCATCATTGCAGCCTGTACAAGAAGGCTGGTTGGTCCATGACACATGGGCACCTGGTACCTCATCTACAAAGCCCTTACTGGGAAATTACCATCTTAGATTACACTGAGTTCACACAGGCTTGTTTCTGAGAATTCATGTTGTAGTCCCTCTACTTCTCAGAACTGGCAAGAGAGGAAACCACACACACGCGCATAGACATTGTATTGAGGCAAATACAATAAATAGATCATTAGCTGTACTGTCACTGTGCTCAGCTGCTGTGTTGTGACAGTTGTGACGTTATTGTGTTACTGTGAAATCAACTACAGCAGAAACAAGTAATAAACTAAGACTAACATAGACTTATGAAAAACACCATGACCATCACTGCCTTGGGCTACTGAGGTACTTAGTACTGTACTTGAATATTTCCATGTTCTCCAGCTGTGTATGTCTACTGCTGGGTGGGAGTCTGTCCCCTCTGTTTCAGAGTTATTAATTTATCTGACAGCTTTTGACAGGTCAGTGTACATTCGATCTTGGACTGGAGGATTAAGACTGGCTCAATTACAAGAAAATCAAATGAAACTTCAGACACAACATCTGTTGATATAAAAGCCTGATGTTAGCAGGGGTTTTGACCAGTGGAAAAGGTGCTTCGGTGTACCAGAGTCAGGCAGTGGATCTGGTCCCTGTTAGGCTCTGGATGGTTCTCCTGGTTCCTGCTGCTGGTGGACATTGACTAAATGTTTTTATTCTGATTTAGTCTCCAGCTAATTTCTTATTTCTGAACAGTCATGACATGAACGTGAATTGGGAGAACATGCAGAAAACAGTCATCACAGTCCAGCTCTCGGTTTGATAAGATATCAGCTTCATGTAGCCTGAGGATAATGAAGCCTGTTGTTTTACCTCCACTTGATACTAGTACATCGATTAGTGTGTCCACTCCTATGGCCTGAAAGTTGTTCAACACTCAATGGGCTTTTCAATAACTCAAAATGCTGGATATATTTAGAGGTTGGCAATGGTACATATAGAGTGGGCTGGTTTGGTTGTTAAATGATCTGAGTCATACATGAAACAAAGAGGACACACAGGGAAGCTCCACCTCACTTCCTCTATTCATTGCCTGGTGCTTTGCATCAAATATCTCCCAGCATCAGTGTCTGACAACTGAAAATAAGGAAAGATTAACCTGCACTGGACCCTGTGGAGGAGATTCAGTTTGACACAGCAGCACAAGGGAATGTACTGAACATTAAAGACAGTGTCCATAAGTACATCAGAAAAAAATGAGTAAAGATAAAATAGATAAAATTATTTGGATAAAACATGAATGATAGATACACTGAAATAGAGTTCAGCTGCAATGCTATAATGATGAAGCTTGTTGTTTGTGGGAAGATTGGTGAAGTTCTGGTGGTCAGAATACATCAAAGTATAAAATACGTTATGACTACACCTGAATATTGTCAGGTAGATGTCTTCGGGCTGGGACTGTCATCAAACATGTGAAGTTTGGGGCATATGGACAACATGTTTTTGAGTTATAACAACTTCCTGTTTCACGGTGTAACAAAATCGAAATCGAATCATGGACATTACACTGTTCAACGAAAACTCAAAAGCTTCACAATTTAGCATTGTGAAGGTATCTAGATTGGACTGACTACATGTCAATGTAAAGGTGGATTATTGATGGATTTATGAATGTAGGTTTGTACCAGATAGTGGATGAAGAGTCCCTGTCTGGAGGAGCTGGACAGGAGAAGAGGTTTACAACAGGACACAAATCCAGACATACTGAAGAAAAATCACACCAGAGTTTTTAAAGAGTAGGTCAAGTCAGTCCCTGAAACCAAAAGGAAACCTCTGGAGTTTTTACTGGTTTTCAACAGAGGGCAGAGCAGCAAGAGCCTCCAGCAAAGATCACGAAAAGAAGAACATCTGTCCACAGACTGATCCCAATCCAGGACTATCCCCTCTGCCATCACACATGAAGGTGGATCTACAGAGTATTAAAACATTAAAGAGTCGCTCTGATGAAGGTCTACTGACTGATGTAACTCGTTTGTTCTCTATAGCTGCATCACTCAGTTCTTCTTCTTGAGTTTGGCATGTAAAACAAACTGTATTAAAGGGTTTTACGGAACAGTTTACTGACTCTGACCAGGATCAGTTCATT